CAATAACAATTCACAAAATATGACACACACACAAAAAGAGACTTGAATGTTGTAAGGTAATTAATTTACATCAGTGAAAGTTTGTTCATTGCTTCAGGCAATTATAGGGTGGTGGGCCAGTAGCATTGTTTTAATAGGCTTTTATGATAAGGACACTCACATGCATTAAGGCAAATGCACTTTAAAATAGAATACTGTATGTTGAATGATTAGTAGACAATTTCTTAGTGTAATTAATACAGACACTGAAAAGACTTATCACTTGTCAGATAGCAGAGCAGTAAAAGCCATCATTGACCAAAGTAAACGTGTATAAATTAAACACATGGAAACAATAATCAATGATGTTAAGAACATTGAGTTTTTCTGACTGGATAAAAACAACATTTAGATAAAACCATTGGGAAAATGACACACCCAATAGGAACTAAAGAATACATTAGGGAACTGAAAAGGGACAAAGACCACCTAAGATGAAATATAATGGCATGTTCAGCATGGAATGAAAATTGGACTCATCTACATTCCAGCTATTCCCTAAGCTAATCCCAAATTATAGAGCCATTAGAGAAGCTCTTCCAGAAAGGAGCTCAGAGGGACGGAGATGATGTCATATTCAATTCAATGTTGTAAATCTTTTATTTATAATTGCTGGAAAGGTAAATGGCCTGCATTCATACAGTCACATTTACAAATGCATGCTTGCTGACTTATATAAGGTAGAATTGATTGTACACTCACCATACACATCAACTTAAAAAAACATACTCAACAAAAAATTAAAATGGACCTATTATCCTCAAATCTCAATTTTTGATTGGCAATGAGGTCATACCACATTTACGCTATTCTTTACGCATTTACGCTATTCTTGCTGATTGGTAGAATATTGTACAATGTACTGTATCAAATTCAAACATGCAGCCTACTGTTATAGGTATCTATCTTCAAACAAAAACAAATATTTCACTTTTCAAAATATTCATGGTAAATTTTTAAAGATAACTGTACTGATATTAAACATTTCTGTGTTTCATGTTTTACAACAAAAGTAGGCATTATCTTCAAAAGGATCAAATATGTATTACAAACTTTCAAGATAAAAAAAAAAACAATTTTTGCTAATTTACATTTCGCAACGAAATTGTTGAACTGATTACTAGAAAAATGCAATGGTCTATGTAAGAAATGCTATATTAAATTATTTAAAAAAAAAAGAAAGAAAGAAAAGAAATTATTGTTCAATTTTAAATTTAAAGCTACTGTACTTCTTATTCAATTAAGTTCCAAATGATGAAGGTGATGTGAAAAAGAGGTTATGACAATATTGGCATTACTACAAATCTACAACTATTATACAAAGTAATCAACCCAAGTTTAATATTGAATTAAGAGTTTACTATAGGCAGTACAGTATGCATACACAAAAACTTCAGTAGGCCTACAACAATCAGTTTAGTAAAAGTAATCATGACACAAAATATCAGATTACACTGCCAAAAAGTTCAACTTTTCTAAACTAATTTAACTGGAGCTTTGGAACAATGAGTGCTGCTTTCCTACATTTTTCTGTAGCTAGTCATTATTTCTATATCTAGAAAGAAAGGAATGGTTTACCCTAGGGTAATCACTCCTGAAAACACTTTCAACAAGGTTTGGAATTTCGAGATCCCAAAGGGTTTGACAAAGTGTGGTTAGAGAAGGCTACCCAGAGAGGCTAATGACATCAATGTGTCTAGTAGGTATGTATTGGGGTTCACCCTCAAAAACAAGTACTACGTACTAGTATATCATATTGAAACTATAGTACCAGCATTGTTGTGGATAGTGACAATCAATTATTGTTAATTATAGTGTGATAGTTAAGCCATTTATACAATGAATGATTATTATTCTGTTGTCCATTTTAATGGCATTGGCCGTATTCGACTGGTTGTTCTTCGTTAAAACATGCCCACCTGCGCAGCGGTAAAATCCTACTTAACGAAGACGACCAGCCGAATAGCAAACTTGTAAATACTCGACAAAACAAAATGGCTGCATAGTTACCGCGATACACGCTGCGTAGTCAAGATTGTTTCAGCTTGTGGCAGTATGGGTTTTTCGTAAAAAAAAAAAAAATATTTTTATCCAGTTTTTGAATTCTGTTAGCCTACAATTTCTTTTTTACTTCATGTGGATAAATATTATAATTTTTTTTTCTGAAATTTAATTTAAGTTATATTAATGAAAATGTTGTTTCTAAACTCAAAAATTGTCCATGCTTGTTTTGGACACGTGAATAACTTAATGCTGATTAACGCACTCTGGTTTATGTTAATTTTCGTTGTCAGGAAGTCTATTTTATGAACCAATCAAATGAAAATGTTACTCAACGAAAATTCGTGGTCAACGAAATGAACCAGTGGAATGCACCCATTGTTATCATTCATGCATATTTAGTTTAATTCTTAATTATATTTTTAAGCAATGCCGCACTGAAAAAGTTGAACAACCTATGACAACTCCAGACAGAGGAAAGTCAGAAAAAAAAAATGGATTTGAATGGTTTCTCTTCATTAGGGATCTTAGAGATCTCAGGTCTTCTGTGAGTCACAGTGCACTTTTTTTAGCTCCAATGAGAAGCTCTAGCAACATTCAGCTGATTAATAGATCTTTTTTAGATCTACTGCCTCTATTATACTGCCCTCATGAGGCTGATTGATTAATAGATCTTTTTAGATTTACTGCCTCTATTATACTGCCCTCATGAGAATCTCTAGAAATACCTGGCTGAATGATTAATAGATGATTGATTAAAGATCTATTTTTAGATCTACTGCCTCTATTATACTGCCCTCAACTTGTTTTTTTAAATAAGAACACATTTTATAAGAGCACTGAGAACAAAATAAGAAAAAATTGAGTTAAAATATCAAATGAGGTTTTATGAAAAAAAAAAAAAAAACTATAAAAAACACCAAAAAAAAAAACCTGGTTGTACAGTATGGTATAAAATAAGAATAAAATAAGAACATTTTGAGCCAAAAATTGACAAAAAATTAGAACACTGAGTCTGGGCAGAATTGTAAAAAAAAAAGTGTAGTCTCAGAAAAATTGGTACAGTTCTCCACACTCAAAGTAATCCATCACCGCTAAATTCAGAATGTTTGCCAAACCCCCATTTCGTGCCACTACTGGATGATTCATAATTGACTTTGTAGTTATAAGTAAAGTAGTTTTAATTGTTTTGCATTGCAAGTGGGAACCTTGTCGTGCTAGTCTGTAGAAAATAATTAAAATCAAATTTTTCATTCCAAGAATTATACGTCAAGATCACACAAATTAATTTAAGTTAATTTGGTATCAACTTTTCCTGTTACTGTAATCTTACATTTGTAACCACATCACTGTCTGAGAGAGATTTAATCTGTTGATTATTGTGACTTCAAAAACAAGCCCTACTGTGACAACATCCTTGACAACAATGAAATTCAGCTATTGTATTTTATAATAAATTGCTAAAAGGATTGGATTAACAACCTGGGACAACAAAGGTTATGTTTTCTAAATCTAAGATAAGTATCAAAGTCATCAACATTACAAAGATCTCAGCAAAAAAGTTTATTTGTTATTCATAAAAACATATGGTGTTTGTACAAAATTCAATTAACACACTGAATAGCTCATAGTATTAAGAAAGTTATTAATAAACTTCATGAAAAAAAAATCTCGTTTACTACAAAATTCTTAAAGTTTAAAAGCAGTCAAGCAAAATAATATTATTAAATTAATGCTAATGCTAATATTTTGTTATCATTTACCATTTTTTCGAAATAAAATTTGAAAGTTAAAAAAAAAAAACAAACAATTGTGAATTTTCTCATTGTAACTGAAAACTAAAATCGTTTAAAATTGACTTCAAGCAAAAGCTTGTGCAAAGGCTGTTTTCTACGAGGCATGGGCATTAACATTTCTATCGGAGATTTTCGCTTCAGCGAAATCAGCAGTTTCAACTGTTTCTACTTTTTGCGAAGCGAATAAATGCGCAACCAATCAGAGCTTTCAATTGGCGCGAATAAATTTGCCTAGTTTAAAACAGCCTTTGGTCCAAGTTAAAAAAATTAGTTTCTAGTGCCAACTCCTTCCTGTAATTGCTGACGCCTCAATTTTTAAAATTTATTTTTCCAGCATAATACAATGTTCCTTATTTTAGAATTGAAAAGTACAAATATGGTAATTTTCATTTTCCTCTTCTTTGGCCTATAAATGACCTATGTTTTCTTTGGCAAAAAATTCTGACTATTTATTGTTTATGCTGCATAATAAATAACATTGAAATTGTAGTTTCAAAATGATAATAATTGGATACAGCTACCATAGTGAAAAGGAGTATTATGTCTTGTTGAATAACATAATATTATGTGATATACTTGTTTGTTTCAATTGCAAAAAACTTAATGTCAACAGAGGGCGACATTTCAACAAGTAGTCATCACATAATACATGATTCTAAAGATTGCAACAGTAATGACCTATAAATTAGGAACATGCAAGTTAGGGATTAGATTTCAATATGAAAGGATAAAGGGGCCAAAATTTGTTTATACAAAGTTTATTGAAAAAATTTAAAATTGAAAAAAATTAATCAAATCCACACTACATAAAGCTCAACTAAAATATAGAAATATGCCTATACTAACACCCACTTTAAAAATCAAGAAAATAATGAAAGATTATTTTGAGTCCATTGTATTTTTTGGTGATAGGATAAAATAAACGGTGTCCCCTTGAACTGGGGTTGAAGTGACTGTTTTAAACCTTAATGAAGTCTGATCGTAGTGTTAAAAGATACATCTCCTTTGTTTAGGGAGTAAGCTCACCCATAATACGGGTGTCACGAAAGAAGAGTTTAGCTGCATTTCATATTTCTACTTATTTTTTCACTTTTTTAACAGATAATTTAGCTGTGAGAATTAGAACAAAATGTCCATAAATTTCAGCAATAAATTTTCACTTACTCTTTTTTTGGAGTCGTTCGCTTGCCTGCATTTTTTTCTGCTAATTTCTTTTTGTAATCTTTCCTTTTATCACGTTTAAATCTGGCTGCGTCAAATGTTTTACATTCTGTAACATATCAAGAATAATAAATGGTTAAATTAAAATATTGAGAACATGATAGAAAATATGATAATAACAATAAAAATATTATGATGCTATATAAATACACAGTATGTATGTAAGTATAACATTAATGTAATATTAATAATTGCTAAATTTTTTATATATTTTAGTTTCTTTGTTGGTGTTTTTTTTTGACACCCAAGTAAATTGTTTGTATTTTGTTTTTCTATTTTTGTAAAAAACATTTTTCATAATCTTACAAGCACTGTTAATTAACATCGGTAGGTAGTTAATGTGCACTTTGAGTAATGCCACTGTCGTAGCGGCACTGAACATTGCATTCTGCCGTGGATATTGGCGCTATATAAATCGTTGTTTGTTGATCGATTGATTGATTGATTGGTTGGTGCTGAAGCGCCCTCTTCTGAGCAATCCTTCCCGGTACTAACTTTAAAATATTGCAACCTATAAATTACAGGTATATTTGAACTGCTGCATTGTAACACTATTATTTTCAAGGAGTTGTTTTGCCTTGGAGATAAAAAATGTGCGGAGTGACTTCTTTTAGCAAGGAGTTATTTTGGCTTGGAGATAAAAAACGTGTGGAGTGACTTCTTTTGGAGTTGGAATGGCTCCTTGAAGATAACAGCGAAAATGGTTTTTAATTTAGTATGTAATTTGTTGAACGACAAGGATTTATTTGGATGAAAATTAAATTCAAAAAAAAAAATCCTGCAGGCTTCAGGCAAATTTTTTTTTTTGGAAAATAAGAAAATAATGGCTCCTTTGGCCTCTATCTCCTATAGTGTCCTCAGAATTTGATTATAATAGCACAAAATATTGTTTATTAACCTACTCTAAATTTTGTAATACTGTAAAAAAGTATTATGAAAACCAATGAACAAAATAAAAAAATAACCATTATAAAAATATATAACAATAGGAGTACATTAATGTACGATGATACCATTGTACTAAAGTACACACACAGTACTCTTGCCAAGGGTGTTGATTCAAAAACTGTACAAAATATTATGGTTAACAAATTCATCTTAAATTTAATTAGCCAAATATGAAATCAAATTTCATTTAAAAGGCAACAATTTGTGATGAAGGTGATGACAATAATGATGATAATTAGGAAAATTATGATGATTATTAATTACCTTCTAATTTTGTGATACCATTCCGTCGATACCGTATTAATTCTTTAATTCTTGCTTTGAGTTCTTTTTCACCTGAAACAGAAAAGCAAAAATGACTTATTCAATTTGAAGAAGCATCCTTGAGAAGAGAGAATTATCTCTGGCAAAGGAGGTTATGTATCTATGATATGTATCAGCCGTAGCTTTGTATGAATGCAATTAAAAAATCTGACAGCAAATAGGACTTGCAATGCCCAAACCAGATTCAGTGACCAAAACAAGAAAATTGGCATTTGAATTATTCATATTCTCCACAGTTTTAAAATGACTGATTGGAATCAACTTGTTATTGTCAAAGTTGAGTAAAAGTAAGTTATGAATAAAAGTATTACGGCTTCTGTTTACTAAAGTATACAATACTGCCGCACGCTAATTACTCAGTTCAACAATTAGCAATAGTACAGTATGCTGGTTTTGTTTGGGAAGGCAATCTTCATAGTATATCAGACTTGAATCATATTAACACTTTGTGTGCAGAGAATAATTCTGTCCTGTAGTTGAATAGTTATGGAAGAAATAAAAAATGAAATTCAAGATTATATAAAGACTTACGTTGCATATTTTCAAATAGTTCTTCGTGGTCTTTACTTTTTTGGAATTGGCAAAATTCTCGCATTTTCTCCCGTAATTCAGATTCTTCTTTAGACATTTTTTTCTTGGGAGCTGGAAGTGCAAAGAAATTCACTTTGATACCACAATAAAAAAAAATTAGCTTTAAAATTCTTTAAATTCACAACAAATCGTGTCGGGCTGCGTTGGCCGACGCTGTCTGAGTTGGCCTTTATGTGCATACAAATTAGTTTATATTTTTTTTTTTCTTATCCATTTACTTTCTAATCACATTTATATGGTTCATTGTACTGTTTATTGTCAAACCTAAACATACATGCAGAAAAATAACTATGCACATTACTGTTTCCTTATTTTGTTTTTGTAGTCAAAACAACAGTCTGAGTTGTAAGCCTGCGTGGTATATTTGCAATACATGTGGTTTCAATTACCTTGAACATGCAGAAAAATAACAATGTATATTATGGTTTCCTTATTTTGTTTTTCGAGTCAAAACATGGTTTTCTACTCAAAAGTGGTCTATGGTGCATGCCTGGCTGTGTGGTTTACTTTCATTGTATGTGGTTTCAATTACCTTGTACAATGGTTTTTGTAATACAGTATTAATGCTATACAGTTGAACAATTGATTTATGTACTGTTTGGGTCAAACAGTTGTTGTAATATTAAACCGTCTGCACTGAAAATTTTAGGTCAATCTAAGGGTGTGTTTCAACTGATAAACACAAAATAATCAATTTTGCTCGCGTTGCAACTGCATTTTTTATTTTTCGAAAATCGGTTTTCGTGATGGAAATTACGTCACCATTTTGTTTATACAACACGTTGTTTTCATAATTGTATAGGATAGTATCTTTCTCATTCCTGTCATGATGACGAGGAGTAAGATGCGGTGTGGGGCGAGAAGGCAAATGTTTTCGGCTGTGCTCATCGGCACAATGAACGGGTGACCAAAGGAGGACAACAATAGACCCAAAAGAGCGGAGAGGCATACGCCCATTATCCCCTCACAAAATAATTACAAAACGAATTCGTCGCTCCACATGTTTGTTGACGTTTTTAGCTTGTAGGCCTAGTAGGACATAAACAAGAGGACAAATTTTTTTGAAAGTTCGCGCCTAATACAATCTAGTCTTTGCAGTCATTGACCTGGAGGTTACATTTCACCTAATAATCGCTTTTTTGTGTTGCAGCTAAAAGGTGCACAGAGAAAATCGGTTATTTGCCATTCAAACATGCTATCCATTGCGTGTTTTTAATCAATTTTTTTAAATCACTTTTTTCAAACTGGTCCTGTTTCTACTGCGAGAATAGAAGCGTTTTTTCGAAAAGCGATTTTTAATCGATTATTTCTTTTCAGTAGAAACAGGTCCTAAGGCCGAATCCAAAGTTAAGGAGCAGAACATGTAAAAAAAACTTTGTAATACGTTCATGGATTTCAAAAAAAGGCCAAAGTGGGGATTTCGCTATACCCATTGAGCTCTCTACCCGAATTCAATCCCCAAGGTAGAGCGAAGAAGCATTAGCCAGGGGCCTATGTCTCTTTATTGCGCCACTGGCCAGCAGTCTATGCTTCAACAAATGCATTCAACATAAACTTCTGGTCAAAGCCTGTGTAGGTGTATTTATAATGTCTTATGATATTTTTTTGTATTTGTGTATCCTTCATTATGTTTGCATGTTGAAATATTTGTTGTATTTCATTTTTATACTTACTTTGCTGTTTTGCTCTACTACTGGCAAAGAGCTCATTCACTAAGGAATACTCTCTTGATATTTGTTTTCTTCTTTGTCTTTCTTTTAAGACTTTAGTATACATATCTACATGGGCAAACCTAAGTGCTATAAAAAAAAAATAAAACAGAAACAATTATTATATAAATTGCAGTCCCAATGTCCTTTAATGTAGAATCAGTGAAAACTATTAGTGATGTGATAACCTGGCAGAATTGACAAGCCTTCAAAAAGAACTGTGATAGTCTGGCAGAATCAACGAACTCTGAAGAACCTGAGATAGCCTGGTAGGTTCAACAAACCCTCAAGAGAACTGACAGCCTGGGGAAATCAGCAGACTCTCAAAGAGAACTGCGACAGACTGGCAGAGACAGCAAGCTCTGAAGATACTGTGAGAGCCTCACAGAATCAACAAGCCCACAGAGGAAACTTTGATAGGCTAATTTCGAAGCCATATAAAAACACAAATAACTACAGCAGTCACTCTATAGAGTGCATACCTGCAGGATGTGCCTCAATACCAACAATACACAGAGTGTGTATGATGGGCAAAGCTGCAGCATACCCTCAAGAAAATGATAGAATTGCCCATCTTGTTCAGGCACAATATTTTGTTAGTGGTGCCTGAATACGAGAGGTGATTCCATTATTTTCTTTTATGCTCAAGGGTTAAAAAAAATTTGAATTTCCATGACCTTGACCGTGTCCTTTGACCTTTTTATCCAAAAATTGAATGGTCTCTTTCTTTGAATATTATGTACCATTCCACTAAATGTTATGATGATCCATTCATTCGTTACTGCATAATCTTGCTAACAGACAGACAGACAGAGGTGAATACACAACCTCCTTTGGTGGTGGTAATAATTTTGTTTTTCTCAAAATAATTAATAACGATTAATAAACTCTTACCTGCATCTAATTCATCATCTTCTAAATTGATTTGTAGTTGACTAACTATTTTTTCAGCTTCATTTTCATATTCCTGAAGGATAAAAATGTGCTGGTAATCTTTTTACAATTAAAAAGTATCATTTAAGAATGGCTGTATCACTATTAGTTGTCAATTTCGTTCATCACACTCGTAATGAATAAATTAATTATTAAGTATATGTGACCCACTCTGGCCAAAACATGCTCTTGTCATAAAGAAATAAAAAATGATATTATCAGCTCTTTTGTAATCTAGAGGTTAAAAAATGTTTAAATAGGATTACAAGCTGATTTGAAGGCTTTTGTTTTTTATGACAAGTGCCTGGTTTTGCCAGAGTTGTTCACATAAATTAAATAAATGAAAGAATGAATATAATAAATAACCTCAAAGTGTCTTACCCTTTCAAAATCATCCCTTAAAGGCATAAACCCAAGTTGTTGCTGTTCTTCTAATAGCATTTCTACCGGTTTTAATGAGGATCTTAAGCTAGGTGATAAAGGACCTGCAACAGAATTTAAATGTAATTACAATTACTATAGTGACAGAAAGAACATTTAAAAAGAGGAAATAAGTTCACAGTCTTGATTCAAATGATAATTTCTGACTTTCAAAAAATAACATTAAATATGCTAATACATGTACAAGAGACAAGAGGGGGTGGAAATCATGTTTTTAGGCCTTGTAAAAACTTCTTATTAAATATTTTTGCACAAAGGTGATAAGGTTGCAAAATATTATACAGGTCTCCCTTCAATTATGGATCACTTTTAGTTCCCATTGTCTGTAGCAGCTGTGGTCTCTAATTAGAATAATAAAGATAAAAAGATATTTGTTAATTTGGACCAACGAAAAAAGTGGTCTTTAAATGGATGTGGTCTTTAATTGGAGGGGTCTTTAATCTGAGATGTGAGGTGAATTTGAATAATGTTGTAATGGTAGTGGGGCCCATATTAGTACTGTTAAATCTCTGTATGGCAAACCTTTCATTAATAAAACATAATACAAACACATACAAAATAAAAATCTCTATATTCTGTACCAAAAGCTTAAAGTCTTATCCATACGATAACAATAACAATAACGCTTTCATCTTTTGATCAAAAGAAATTTCTCAGCAATTGATTGGTAATGGTGTAGAAAATTTAATTGGAGTAAAAATACAGTACAGTATATATAATATACCAAATTTAATTATGATCAAAGGATATATATTTTTTATTGCAAAACATTTTTAGGTCTGAACTCTAGAAAACCACACCATGATAGTCATACATTTTAAATTGGACTTTGATCCAAAGTAATTACTTACCATCAATTGGTCCTGTGTGGTCTTTTACCTTGATATCTAATGATGTTGGTATGGTTACTGCAGTTACATAAAATAAAAACAGAAATTCAAACATTAGAATTTAAGCTTAGTAGTTAATAATGCCTGCCTTCCAATCTCCTTCATATAGAGATCAAGACTACAGTATGCTGAGGGAATCTCTATCATGTAAATGGCAAGTGAAGAAATATGAAGAAATACAACAAAAATGATTGGTTTTTTTAAACGTATAGTACAAAACAGCAATACAATGGGTATATGAAAATATTACAGAAATAAACATTTTTTTGGCGTCCATTAAATTTAAGAGGACAACTTTTTTTTTTAGTTTAAAGCAACTGATTGACTTATACAAATTTAAAAATTCATTTCATTTTTACGGAATTATTTTTATTCTGCAATTGGTCTGACCTGAAATTGGATGTGGATGAAATATAACAAACGCACTCCTCATGGCAGTAAAAATTAGTTTCATTAAAGTAGGTTAAAATAATGAGAATTACCATTAAGTTTTCATTGGAACAGGGATTTAGTTCCGTATTCTGGGAATTAATAGAACTGCATCCTCGTTTTTTCGCAACCACCCACTCCTATGCCCCTGAATGTGCAATCAAAGCATTTGTTTACAATGCTAAAATCTCTTACCTTGGCCTATGTTACCATTTACAAGAAATTCTGTATAATGTTCCATTGCCTGCTTGGCTGTTTTGGTCCCTATATTATTTGCGATACCTTCCCTGAAATTAGAATGGGATATTTTTTCATTAATTCAAGAAAACAAAATAATTGTTGTAATGATTTTAGACAATAAACAGAATAAAGGTGAAAATAAATTATTATTTGTGTAATTACAGGTAAAAAGGTGAAAAAGGCTCAGGCAGCTAAACTGATGGCAGCCACTGTCTGTGTGCCGTGGAGATCTCTTGTTCAATTCCCATCACATTTACCCTTGTATTTCAGCTAGAGGGCTGAAATGCAGGTTACAATAGTGCACCGTGTTTCAGATGAGACATGTAAGCTATTCTCTCATGTGCATTATGGCCAATGTGCACATTAAAGAATGCAGTACACTCTTCAAAAAAAGTAGGGGATTGTCTCCTGGTGTACTGCCCAATCAACACCAGAAGGACCCCACTGGATTTTTGTGGGTTATTCTTGGTGTTTACACCAAATAAATCCATCCATCCATCTATCTATCTATCATGAATAATGGATATTATCTTTTTGTATGAAGTGTTTTTGTAAGTGTTGCTTTTTCTTGGCTTTAAGGAATGCAAGTGTAGTGAAAACATTTTAATGTATTAAGACAACTTACCAATTCCCAAAGCCATAGCTTTCAATGGCCTCCAGAAGTTTCATCTCCTCCCTACTTGACCAATCCTCATACATCAACGGTAAGGCACCATTATCCTAAAAGAAAATCCACCAAATCATTTATCATTAAATAATTTGAATACACAGAGTCATGGATCAAGCATTTTTAAAATGACCTAAAGAGTAGAAGGGATGACCTTTCACAACACTGTCTGAAGTCTCATTAAAAAAAAAAATATCATAATAAATATAAAAAAAAAGGAAGTTACTATGATGCATAGGCCTATATTTTGTTCGGGATTGAGTATGCAGGCCATTAGGAGCAATCACTACGGCCAACGGTAGTCGCCTAATGCGATTCTATGGAGAATACTGGTACTGGTATGGGCATTTATAATGTGCCTCTTCCTTGCGGTTATAAAGCGCAGTTCTTTTCCCTGGTCATTGGGTCAACATGCTAAGTGTTGCTGCTGGTAATCAGCGCAAGAGCAGACAACCCCACCAGGTACCCATTTATACTCCTGGGTGGAGAGATACCTTATAGATAAAGTGTCTTGCTCAAGGACACAGACGAAATGCACAGCGAGGGATTGAAACCCCGACCTCGAGGTTGGGAAACCAAACCATTTCTGTTGCGCCAAATCGCTCCCACAATGCAATGCCACAATCCATCCAGACTGCCACCGACGATCAGCAGATGGCATTTTGTTGTATAGCGCTCATAGGGGTTGGACTCGGGTTCGCCATACTCTACCCCTTGATACATAGTTTTATTAGGTTGGGGATGCAAGTCACTACGGTCTTAGCGAAGTTACATCAGTAGCCCTAGATGCATAGTTTGATTCAGTGGGGATATGATGGTCACTACAGACCTTAGTATAGTAATATCCCTATATTCATAGTCTCTTTAACATGGGTTATATTTGTTTTCATTCTTTTGGCAGATAAAATTCCTCTTATCTTGAAGAAATATAGATATTAATTTCCCTTCTTACTAATATTAGTAAAAAAAAAACACGAAACATATGGGGGTCATCAACTGAGGAAGTGGGTAGGAACCTACAGTGTAACAGTGAACCTAATCACTATAACATAAATCACATGTGGTAAAATAATGTAGGAATAAAAATCAATCTTATCTAAAAAACATAAATGTTGAATAATGTATTTAGCAGATGGGAGATTAAGATGCAAGGTTACTCTTCAGTTAGGGACTGGAATTTTGATATTGAATCCTATCATAAATGAATATAACGTACACAGTCCTGATAAAATGATATAACCTGTACCTCTCAATAATATGTGTTGAAGACAAGCCAAACAAGTCAATCCTCACATATCATGTTTTGGACATCATGGCCAAAACATGTTAGAATGTCAAAAATTTTGAAATCTATTTCATTGTACTAAACTAAACTTTTCTATACATCAGGCTCAATTTTGTCATTTTCGACATTAAAACAACACTTTTTAATGATTTAGTGATAGTCTCTGTCTGGTAAATGGCCAAAATCATAAATTTTGAAGGCCGATTCTCAAATACTATTCTTTAAAGAGTTGTATGACTAAACTCCTGTGACTTCATAACAAAAACGCCGAATTGAAATTATTCACCATTTTACTGCTTAACCCTGTATTATTAAATAGCTAACAATCTAGTTACTGGTTTGGCTTGTCTTGGCCACGTATGTGTACAGTGTGAATGTATTATTACTTACTTTTACTAACTTAAATTTTATTGTTATAATATTTTATAGTTATATTCTCTTCCAATAGATGTTTACTAATAATAGAATATAAATATAATGCCCTATAGACTAATCATCAGGATAAATCTCTGTATGCCACAATAGTTTAAGTTTTTTGTGATGAACAACTTACCAAGCTTTACATTTTCAATTAATATAACTATTATTATTAATAATAATTAAAAGTAATAGTAATCTACAGAGCAATAATAATATTGGAAATATCAATTTGCAATAACAACAATAATATTAACTATATAAATAAAAATCATAATATTAATAACAAATAATAATAATATTAAAATATGCCCTAGTAATAATAGTTAAAAGTAATAGTGACAAAAACTAACTTAATATTATCATCAATAACAATTGCAGGAATATAATTTTTTTTTTTAAATAATAATAATAATTTTTTTTTTAAATTGACAAACATGCCAAACAAAGTGAATGAAGTCACTCAAGGTAAGGGGTTATGTGTAAGTGAAATAATGTTTTTACATTAAGTTCAGTACATTCTAATTTTTACAAACAATAAATATCACTACTGGTACTGTCAATATCATTATTCCTGTCAACAATACAGTATTATTGTCACTCAACTTTCTGACGCGTATTAACATGAATAAAATGAACTTGCAAGTTGAAAGCAATTCATGAGGCAATTTGATAGAGTGGTAAAAATATCTGGCAGGTTTCAGAATGGAGCAAATATTCTGCTCATAAGCTTCTGCCTTCAATGTAAGTGATTAAATTATGATGATGAGATCAAGCTTTCAGATCTTCAGTCTAATGTTTGAAACGTGTACCTTTTGTTAATGCTTTAATAGTTGTAGTGTACACACACCACACGCACACACTATGCACTAACAGCTATTTCACACTTCAGCGAGCATGTCTAGTCCCTGAGCATCTGCTGCCCTCATTTGCATATGAATCATGTATGGATGTTCTTAATGAACATGCTATGGTTCTCACAACTAGTATTAAATATGCAAATAATATCGGCTGTTGGCATTTAATTATTTTCAAAAAATGCTTGTAGATATTTACATCCTTGGGATAAAATTTTAGTCTAGATTGTTCAACTGAACATATCAAAGGTTTAACCTAATTTTAAGTCATAATTAGAACAAGAACTATCTATGAACACAGAATGACTGATGTAATAATAATAATAATTTGTATGTACAATACTGTCATATTTGCTTCACACTACTCTATATCTTTACAATATACAATGGTGGAGCACAGAAATTGTAGGCTCCAAAGGTATTTGAATTAAAATTCAAATATAATTTGTCAGGGATTGCTAGCCAATTATAAATTATAATTATCATATAAATAGATAAATCACTATTATAATAATATAATAAGGCAGTAATACATTAACAACAATTTAAACATTATTAGCAGTAACAATCTAAAATCTAAAAATACTACCTCTGCTGCCTGCTGCTACTACTAATAATAAAATAATACTTTAAATAATTATTATAGATAATAATAATTATATAATAATTGCTATATAGTGTCAATTATTATATTAATAATGGATAACATTAATAAGTAATAGGACTATATTAATAACAATAATAAAAATAGTAATTATAATAAAAAGCAATACATTATAAAAAAATTATGATACTAATTATTATTATTGGAGTGAATATTATTCTCTTTACTGAAAGTAATAATAAATAGGCAGTGGATATTATAAGGCAGTGGATATTATTACACCAGTCTTAAACTAATTCCTAATTCTGATTGGATGTTATTATCCATATAATAACATCCAATCTAACAAGAATTAAGAATTGGTTTATGACTTGTGTAGCAATAGCGTACCTAATAAGATACAAAAAGTAAATAAATAAGCAATAACATAAAGTTCCAAGGTAACGCAACATACACAGGGCCATTACAAAGAATACATATGGACTTGCAGACAGGAAAAGACACATAATGGACTGTTCCACTCTGCCCCGCCTCTTAGATACTGTTGCTAAGGCCCCACTAAACAACAGCAGAAACATGTAAAATGCATGTGTTTGTGAGTGTGGAACAAGTGTATAATCCTGAATGATCGTGTTCTGATTGGTCAGTTTAGTTTGATTGAAACTTTTGAAACGTCATAAATCTAGTCCTAAGAAGTGATACTTTAAGTATGAATGATCAAGAATTCATTAAAACCTAGTTTCCACAAAATCACTACATGCTATTACCAACACACTGATTGGTCCGTTGGAACATAGTGACATTCAGACATAACAGTCAATGGGCAATTCATTGTTTACTAACCATATAAAATGGTAACCACAGGGTTAAAATTCATGGTATCAATGAATTAATAAAAGCATAAAAAAGTGGCCACTTGAAACATAATAAAAGTATTTTGGACTCCTCTTGGTCAGTGGCGTAACAAAGATGTCCGAGGCCCCTAGCTAAGGCTTCTTCAAGGCCTTACTACCCTGGGGAAAAAGCCTATTACCCTGGGAAAAAAAAGTGTCTACACACTTTGCCATATATGACGTTTTAAGGAAGTATTGTGATGTTTTTTTACATCTTGTATTGTGATGTTTTTTTACATCTTAAAATAAAAAGGCTTCGCTCTGCAAATGTATGGGGCAAAAATGCTAATAAATATCAGAGGGCCATTGTTTCCTATCAGGCAAAAAACAACAAATAATGAAAACGTAAAATGCTAAACAAAAAAACAAATGCAAAGTAACATACCAATACTTCATAGTCATGTGTCTTCAGATGAGTTCCTATTTCTGCACCAGCAGAGAAGCACTGTATAGTAAAAGTAAAACCAATGACAATCCATGTAAAGATATACACATTATTTATCTAACTTTATATTTTAAATATACATAAAGTATATATTTAGCTTTGTATTTAATTAATCAATTGGCTCTTAATTGAAATATAAAGCAGAAAAACATTATGTTCCAAGTTGTTAACAACCACAGTCTCATAATTAATATTCCTATATTCTTTGCATAAAATTTAATTTTGTTAAAAAAGGCTGTAAAATCAGTGAAAACTAAATTATTTTTGTAGTATAGCCTTATTAGTCAGTGTATACAAATGCAATAATGAGTAGGTAGTCATTTTTGACTAACGATGAATTTTATTTCACAAGCTTTCGCCCCAGTCAATGGGGCTTCTTTAGGGGAGTGACCAAAAAATGCTACCTACTCAATTTTTCATAATTTATTTTTGAATCAATTCGGAGTCAACGGCCAACCATAACTTAGTTTAAGAAGTAAGAGTTTATTTAGCCACACATTATTTTAATATATATTTTTTTAACCTATTTTAAACTGTTATGCGCATAGAGGTTATGACAATATGCGCCCTCTTATAAGTCTACCACCATTATTATTATTATTATTATCAATTAATTTTTATGTCAAACTTTTAAATTATGAGCAATTCAATATTTCTTAGGGCATTGTAGATTTTATCACAACTTCGACAAGACTTCTTTTATACCTCGATTACCGACCCCCGCCCCCAATAATGATGTTTTTGAAATTTTTTGTAATTTAAAGCATTTAACCATCCCATTACTACACTGTCCACATGTCTACAAAATTCTGTTTTTAATTACTCCTCTCTCTGGAAGTTTTCGGCAAAACCATTTGCAAAATAAAAAAACAAATATTTATTTTTGTTTTTTTCCCGCCCTCCTCTGACGATCTTTAAAAAAATAAGTTTGCGAAACAAGGAATAAAAAAAGTCTTGCCTTATCTTCTGTGTTTTATAAAATAAATCAAATCATACTTTCATGGTTCCATAAATAAACTTAAGCAGCTGTGATTACACAGTGTGGTGTATATTGTAATCTCATTTATCTCCAATGTTTACAATCATTCTTATTGAAAATTAAAGAATTTCAATAGGGCCTAACATACAAATGAACCAAACAATAAGCCTATAATGAACAGTCAATAATTTTTAATAGTAGGCCAAAAATAGACCTCATACAGTACTTCTTTGTTTACATTCTGCAAATGTGTCACCGTTGAGGGTGGCAGAGGTGAATTGCAATTGTTATCGATAGTCATCCACTGATAAGTGTCCCGATTTCTCCTGAAACCGTTTTCCCCAATTGTTTTCATATCCTTTGCTTTAATAGCTATTGTCACTGGTTTGGTTTTGTTTTTCCCACACCTCTTCGTTAATGCTGGCGGCAATTATGCCTAATCATATTTACAATTACAGGGGCAGATTTAGGCGCCTCAGAGGTTATTTTTGGGTGTCCAGAATACCAAATATTTGCGGGGGTATGCCCTGGACCCCTAGGGTAGTGTTTTCTCGATCGACGCCACTTTCGGCCTGCTTTTGGACACCCCTGGATCCGCCCCTGAATTATGTAAGCAAAAGGGCTTTAATATTTTAGAATAGGAAAGATGTTTGCCTTCCTTAGTCCAGTATCTATTATTATATTATCCTAGGCCCTTATATCAACATGCTACAGTATATTAAAAATCACATAGAAAACGCCATACACAATGCCATTGATCAGAAAGCCAACATTTAAAAAATCCATTGACCCCAACAATTAGTGAATAATTAAGACATTTGTGCATTGACCCAAAACCAAAATAGAGAAAACCTGGGTCCCTCCCACATCATAATGACTGTATAATAACTAAAGATAGTGAAATGAAATATCGACATTATGCACACTAGAGAAGGCTAGGTTACTATATAAAGGCCAGGCCTTTAACGTCCACCCCAGATAGACAAAGGCGGACTGGCGTTCGCCCAACTTTGCGGGTTTAGACAAAGATAACAAGGGGATTCCTGACCTACGCAGACTTCCTCCTATGTAAATGAGGTTACAATACTACTTGCCTGTAAACAAAGATCGAAGTCGGCCTCCAAGCATTCGATGCATTTCACTCTCACGCCTCTCAGCTCATCTTGACAATAATTACAGTAGAACTTTGTCGAAGATTCTGAAATAAAGTATTTATATTCTTATTCATATTTTTGATAAGTTTCTTAGTTACGGAGAAAAGGGGATTTAAATACCAAGGTACAAAGACTACCTACCGGCCATTTTCCCCGTACCATCGAGGATGACCCCTGACACCGCCGTGACGATTTGTTATCTCCCAAGATGCACCAGTTAATCAACAAACATGGCTGCCCACTCGGTGCAAGTGAGTGTCGAGTCCTTGTTAGAAAATCAAGTACAAGAGGTGTCTCTAGATGGACAGGAGACGTACAACAAGTATGGTTAATGAGTGTCATTCAAATGATATATTTTTTAACTAAAATACATTTATTTACCTGGCTTACTTTTTATGATTTTGACATTAAATTCTAGGCCAGGCCTTCCTCTCGGCCAGTCGCAAATATTTTTTTCATGCCCATTCGACACCGTGACCCTGCCTGGTTTTAGTTGGGTGTGGCCTAGCCAGAGGCCTAGCAGTGCATAATGAATCGACTACTTAGCTATAGCACATGTCACCAGTGAACCACATAAATTGATGTGACCATATGACTCGCTTTTTTTTGTTAGCACTCTGCTGATATTTTTTTTGTAAAAATAAGTTCAGATTCAGACCTGCCTAGCCGGTCGCCTAGCCTACCTAGCTAGGACCTAGCTAGCTAGGCCTATCCGGCCCCGGGTCTCTGGCCCTGTCTTAAGTAACATTTTTAGGCCTAACATAAATAATGTAAAGAAGGTTTGGCCTAGGTCTAAAAACTATTTCTGACATTGCAAATAGTGTATTTAAATTCAGGGCCTATATTATTCATGTAATTTATATTAAATTGAATTTGGTGGTTGGCCTTTTTCACGAATCAGTAGACATCATGAAGTGATGACAAACATTGCAAATCAGCGGTGCGTAACCAACAGAAATAAGATAAGCTTTTGGGCGGATTTTCTGACATCATGTTATTTAAAAAATCATAATTCCATAACGGGGCGTTGTATCCAAAAAAAATTTCGAGCAAAATGTTCTTAAAAAGCTAGTCTACATCACTATATGATTGAAAAAAAATTGGAAAATGTTTTTGATCTCTGAAATCAAGATGGAAAAAGAAAAGCCTATCTAAGTAGTGTATTAAAATAGGCCTATGCATTGCAGTGCAGTAGCATAGCACTTTCGTGTTGTTACTGTTCCAGGTACTGATAATATACAGATTTCTCTTATTATAAAGTACAAGTTATGTTTTATAAAGAAGTATAGTAAATCATGTTTTTAACACAGGAAACTCTCATATGGTAACTAAAACCATGCTAGTCCAGAGTATTACTAGTACTACTGCACTGTAATGCATATACCTATTTTAATACACTACTTGGATAGGCTTTTCTTTTTCCATCTTGATTTCAGAGGTCAAAAACATTTTTCAATTTTTTTTCAATCATATAGTGGTGTAGACTAGTCTTTTAAGAACATTTTGCTGGAAAAAATTTTTGGATACGATGCCCTGTTATGGAGTTACGATTTTTTAAATAACATGATGTCAGAAAATCCGCCCAAAAGCTTATCTTATTTCTGATGGCTACGCACCGCTGATTCGCAATGTTTGTCATCACTTCAAGATGTCTACCGATTCGTGAAAAAGGCCTATTAAAAATCATTTAATCCTTATAATTTTTATATTTGAATTAGGCCATTGTCTATGTCAGAGAACTTGGCAAAGTTGGCCCAGAAAATTGACTTCAGCAAAGAAGTAGACTTGAGAGGCATCAAAGAAGAGGAGGAAGAAGACGAAGACAAAGCAGATGGTACAACATCTTTCCAACATCCACAGTGGCCTTGGGAAAGTGTTAGAAATAAACTTAGGTGAGGAAGTTGAGTGGTTTTGATTGAAACAGTTACTTCATGACTGTCATTGTCATCATCACTATCATAGTGCCCAGAACTAAGCCCGGGAAGGGAGGCACTGTAAAATTACATCATCAACTTTTATAGCTCTGGTATCATGTAGTACTTTCAATATCATTTACATTTCTCTTTCTTCTTTTCTTTTCTTCTCTCTCTTTTTTTCTTTTTTTTGAAGGGGGAGGGAGATCTATAATCCATCACAATACCCTGGTATCTGCCCCTGTATTATCTCATTAATATCATTAAGACGTCTTTTGCAGACTAATAATTTTACTAATATTCTTGTCTGTATAAATATGTCAACTGTACATAGTTGAAATGTAATTAAAAAAAATAATATACATTTTTTATAATCATCCTTGAGTACATATCTCAATATTTCTTGGGGAAATTTAATATTTTGATTAATGTATTTCTCTGTATACAGAACTGCATTCACAGAAATCAGTGTTTTGTCAGACATAATTCATATAGCCAAGGAAAAGAAGTATTTGGTGTTAGATCCAGTCTCTCAAGAAGCACCTGTCCACCGCCCGGTTCTTAAATTAGTTGCAAAGAAAAAGGTGAGATATGTTGTGAAATAAAGTGACTCATTCGTCCTGGTAGAATGGCAAAGAAAATCAGGCTCAAACTGGGCATGTAGGGATCTTTGGCACCTGCAATGCATGCTACCACTGGTGTTGAATTAGGTCATACTCCACAAGACAATCCTCTTCTCTTTTTTTTATAAGTATTGTATACAAATCCTTTTAATCTAAGCTTATATCACCCATGTATATGACTTGTCCTTTAGGCACAAGGGCCAATGGTTTGCCAAGCAGCAAACCTAATAACTTTTCTAAGTGGCAATCTCTTCAGAAGACAATTCATACACACAAGGTGCTCTACACAAACTTAGTCTCATTATGGGGCTTAGGGAGTAGAGTTGTTTTGGCCATGAGGAAAATTCTCTTGTCAACTTTAACTTGCGATTGCTGAAAATACAATCAAATACAACTAGTTACCCATAGCGCTTATGTAAAAAAATTTAGATTCCTTCTAGTTAGGACAAAAGAAATCTTGCTGTATTCTATCCACACTGGTGAACCACACAGGTGTCTTTATTAATGATTAAATGGACGTTCTTTTAGGCCTTAACAGGAGCTGCCGAAATTTTGCTGAAGGGTGCCAAAGTGCTAAGCAAACCCACGACTGAGACAAATTGTCCTGATTTCCATGCTGAACTCCTCAAACTATGTCAGCATTGGAGGTTAAAGAAGGTTGGCAACAGTATCCTTGGCGATCTCAGCTTTAAATCAGGTAAGCAGAGATAATGCCCTTTCCTTCTAATCCCAGAGTTGTGGGTTCAACTCATTGACTCAACAGTACACTTTATTGTTTACCTTATTATTCAACTTAATTTTTGAAGAGTCATCAATGATATATGATTTTGCAACCGGCATGATCATTTGCTGCTATATCATCATCATCTTTGGAGTACAACAGCAATATTTTTTTATTTTTTTTTTAGAATCACAATCTATATAACGCCTATTGCAATCTGCAGAATATGCCAGGCACTGGCATCATTATTTCCCTGGTCACTGATACATTTTTGTGCAACTTTCTCTGCTCCCTGGGGAGTACCCCTCGTCATACTGCTTTATACGCCCAAGCACATACGTCCAGTGCTACAGCATCCTACCAGGTAGCCATTTATACTCATAGGTGGAAAGAGGCAAATATAAGTAAAGTGCCTTGCCCAAGCACACTTACAAGCAATGTGACGAGCGTCGATCTTGAACTCACGATCTCACGATCAGAAGTCCAACATCTTACACACTGTGCCACATGCTCCTACAAATGTATAATATATTCAGTTACAATGCATTGGCACTGGGTTGACAGCTCACATGATCATGGTCCTTGATTTCAGCGTTTCAAAGGTAAATCATGAATAATATATACATTGTGAGGATTGCTAACATCTAGAAAGTGTGCTTTCTTGTTATTTTGTTTTTTTGATACGTATATACACATACATATACATTCGTTTGTTCAAAATTTGTGCACGATGAGCCAGGAAATTTTTTGACATAATAAGCCATTGTCAGTCCACTGCAAGACAAAGCCCTAACATGCTGCTTCTACAGGTCTCTTTCATGCAACCAGTATTGATGTCCATCTATTTCTTTGTCTTCCATTAATACTATATAATAAATGATGTTTTAACTTGTTTTAATTCTTTTATATTTTTTGCTTTATATCTTTAATCATAATACAGTACATGAAATTTTACATTTTGGTTGCAATTTTTAATATTTTATTAGTAGTCAGATTATATTTTTTATGTAGTGTATCAAACTGCTTATTATCTTAATCTAATTTCTTAATTCTACTTTTAGCTGGATCTAGGTTTTGGCATAATGGTGTATTTGAGGTTATAAAAACACCTGATAGTGATCAGACAACCGGTGCTATAAATGGAGTCAATAAGAGTCCCTTGCAAGTGATGTTACCCACCGACTTGGAGGGAACCAGCTACATTCAAGTTATAATACAAATAGGTTTGTTGATTTGAATTACTTTCTATGATTTAATTAATGTAATTTAAATTAATAATAATAATAACGTAGTTATTATATATCTAGACGTAGGTCAAGGTATAGAAAAACATTGTTTTGATGGGATTTGAACTCAAGACCTTTTGATTGCTGCTCAGGTGCTCTCCCAACAGAGTTGTGAGGACAAGCAAGTATGCTGGCTTGGATTTTCCCATTAGGCCACTCAGATATATATATATATATATATATATATATATATATATATATATATATATATATATATATATGTATATGTATATGTATATGTATATGTATATATAATGCATAAGCCTTTATTCATACCATGAACTTCTTCGTGGGACTGCCTTATGTAAATTTTTGTCTACCTAATTATTTTTGGCTTTATTCATTGCTACCAGTTTCAATGATCATGATGTGGTTAGGTAACTTTTTTGAGAATTTTGTCTCTTGTAAGTTACATTTAATTCCACTGCACTACACAAATAACAGTGTGCATGGGACCATTGGCTTATTGTCCTATCAGAAAGACAAGGTAATTAGGATGGACAAAATTGAGGAGCAGCATCAGAAATATTTGAATGTGCTTCTCCCTCCAAAAAAATTTCTACAGAAAAGGTCTAGTTGTTCAAGTGACTTGGGTTTTTTCTTTTATAAGCTAACCATAAATATTGGTGCTTTTGCACAACTATAGGTACAAGAAAAATTAAAAAGTTTTCTCGCAGTCATTTTTAATTTGAGGACACGTTATAATGAGATACATGGAATCACAATGTTCGTCCATTTTTTTTTAGTTTGTTTCCTTCTGTCAAATATAATACAGACCACTTGAATTAATATTATGAAGACCAAACAAGTGTACAAGATCACACCAAAAAGAAAATTTAATTTTAATTGATGTTATTCTTTATATTTGTTGGCAGGCGATGCAGACATTGCATCAACAGTTGTCTCTCAGATGAGCCGTAGTAAAGTGTCAGCCGACGCTCACTGGCAGGAGCGGCTTGAAGCAGCTCAGAATGTTCTTTTCTGTAAAGAATTATTCTCTCAGGTAGGCCTAGCTGTCAATATAAAATAAAAAAACTCATTACTAAAAAATGGCAATGGTTGGTAATGACCATATACTTGTATAAACTTGAGAAGTATAAAATACTTTTTTGATGTTTATATTTTTTTTACTTCATGATTTTCTGTAGTATGATCTTATTTGTAATGTAATGATAATTTGTAGGATTGAAAACAGTTGGATTGTGGTTGTGATATATTTTTCTTCCCATTATGGCAATGAGGAAAAGCCCTATGTTCTGTTTACACAAGTCTAGCTGTTATTGTTGTTGTGGTTATTCATATTATTATTTCTTTCTATTAATTTAATACTGTACTCTTTTTTGGACACCTGCAGATAGCAAGGGAAGCGGTTCAGTTGAAGTCCCCCGTACCACATCTCGTCATTGGCAACCAAATCATATGCTCATTGTTTCCACGTGTGCAACTCAGAATAACACTCTGCCATGACTCAAATGCTGATGATGGGGTAGGTAACAAATATTTCATTGCAATAGACCTCTCCGCTAAGCCCCGCCCCTTGGATATTGTTGCTAAGGTCCCACGACGACAGTGTGAAAACATATGCGAACACGTGCGTTTGTGGGACAACACGTGTATTTGTGAGATCAGTTAAGTTTGATTGACACTCCGGAAATGTCTATTGCTGGCTCTTCATATTTCAAATGTTGGCGTCCTTGGGTCCTGTGGCTGAAATACGTGTGATTCAAGCATGCTGTCTTTCATAAAAGAAATTTTATTGTTTTAATTTGTTTAACTTTCACACATAGATTCCGCCTATGCAGACCAGTGATCAAAACACATCGCTGGAGCATTCTCTGCATCAAATGTTGAAGGCTTTGCACATCAGCAACCAGTACACTGCAACACCACATCCAGTGACCATGTCCCATGTGGTCAGTAAGAAACGAAGGCTAGCTGGTCCAAATGCATCGACTAAGAGAGATGTAACAGACAAGCAGCATGGGTTAGTCTTTTATATATTTTCATTACTTGTTCTCTTTTCCTTTTAATTTATATAATCCAAATATCATGCTTATGTACTGCAATTGATATGACAATCATTACACTGAAGGCTGTGGTAAGACTTAAATTCTGGTTTCTGAATCTGAAGATATCCGATTAATGATATGTGGTACTACCTCTGGAGTATTTATCATGTACTGCAATTGATTAGAAAATCATTTCACTGAAGGCTGTGTTGAGACTTAAATTATGGTTAAAGATGTTTTGTCATAATAGAAATTATAAAAAATTATTACATTAAGGATTTGCAGTACTGCTTGTGGCATATCTATCTGGAAACTTTCATTAAACGATTTAATTGCTCATTTTAAAAAAGATCATATAATTTACAAACTTGCAATAAACTGATAAAGTTTAGTATCCAGTTTATTTTATGCCAAGATGAAAAAATTAGTATTAGTCATTTGTATGAATTGAGCCTTATAAATTGCCACTTCTACAATATGTTTTAATAAGTTTAGAATAATACCATTAATACAATCTGAACTAATTAAGACATGCATGGAGTCTGCAAAGTTCTAATTCCTTGTTTTGTAATTTTTAATGTTTATAATTAATGATTTTTTGTACAGTATTTTGTAATATTTTTATTAATGTTTTTAAGTCATCCTATTATCAGCTTTTAGCTGTTGGATAGTGAAATAAAATAAAAAATAAATAAATGTAACTTGAAATCTGAAAAAATATACTTACAAGACTAACATGACTGGTGATACCTGTACTATATTTTTATTTTTTTATTTTATAGAGAATGTATTCTAGAAAGAATAATAAAACAAGCCAAACATATAGTGCTCAGGAAGAGGTAAGTGAAACTTGTTTTGAAGTTGAAATCGACTACTGTACTTCTCGAGTATAAGCCCACTTTACGCCCAATTCTACATACCACCCTTTCCTCGGGCAAAAGCCCAGGGTATGACTTTTACAAATATTCTCACAAAAACATCTAATATTGGCTTTGAATACAGTGTTGAAAACTTGTCATTTAATTGAAAGTGGGTTCCTTATGTATAAGGCCACTCCCAAAAAATTTACCTAATTTTGTGTCAGGGTGGGTGGGGGGCTTATATTAGAGGAACTAAGGTAATAATATTAGTATCATAATAACGTTATCTTTTGGTCACACCATGCTGTGTTGTATTTTCTGTGTAGTAATTGGTGAGACATTCATGATGAGAATTAAATACTGAAAAAAAAAAATATAGAATAAAAAAATGGAAATAGAATCTAAAACAATGAATTGAAAGTTTTTATTTAGTTTTTAATTTTAAAAAAAATGTATTTATTTGTTTACTTTTAAGGGTTGCCAAGGTGATAGATGAATTTGCAAGAGAGCACAGTGATCCAACTCTAATCACGCATTGGGGATCGTCCACTCAACCTCTGCTATCAACAGTCATAATAAACATTGTTTCACAGGGTTATGATCAGATGCAAAAGTAAGGCCCATTTCATTATGTTTTGATTTGTATTTTGCTTTTACTTTGTTCTAGTAACATGATTTAATTAATGGTTTAATTTTGCATAGATATGAATGAGCAAACGAGTATTAATTAATTAATAAAACAATAATAAACAATAATTAAACAATAAATAAAATTTGTATAGCACTCATATCCATTTTAAAGAAATGCCAAATTTGCTTGAAAAAAATTTAAAATGGGGAAAAAGAAAACAAGAAAACATAATTCATATAACTAAGCCATAATATAGATAAGTGCACTAACACTGTCTGTTTCTATATTGTTTGTGTAGAACCATCTTCCAACTTTTCATTGAGTGTGACCATGTTCAAGCAGTTTTGCGAGATGGACGCGTTGCACATCTCTCATATGAGGAACAAGATCTTTATGATCTTCTCCTAAGTCAGGTACTAAAACATTTACATGGTATTGTTAAGCTTTTTGTAAGAAAACAGTATGGCATGGCACTATCCATGCCCATTCCCATGTTATACCTATCTCACATATTCTCGTAGTTCAATAGGCCTATCATAGGTCCTTCGTCATTTTAAATAAACGTTTGTAAATGCTTGTGTCTTCATTGTGTTATTGATTCATTTTAACACTGCATACTATATTTAACACCCTGATTCTAAAAGTTTCATTACACACATGCCAATAACATACTCTGGATTAAGTGCTGCGTCACAAATTTCTGGAGCCACCACTGAAAATTGTATCATGTATACAATGGCAAGGGTAATAATTAAGTATTACTTCTTTTGAACAGGTTTCTTCTCATCAAATTATCACACTTTCGGTGCTTGCAAAGTTTATACGTATGCAGATTTTACAACAAAACATCCAAGTGGGGGTAGGGGAAATGGCCAAACTTGGTAATGCTTCTTCTCTCATGCTGTTAACACCAAATGGAAAAAAGTCAGTATTATATTCAATGCCTTATTTATCTCTTATGCTGCATTTATGTTAATGCTAGTGCAAGGATTACTTTCATGCTCATGCACTGAATTACCTTAAAAAAATTACCAATCAATTTTAAGATGAAATAATAGAATGGAATTAAGCACTGCGATTAAAAAGTAACAATACATTATTGTTAAATAGTCTTTTTATCATTTCAGTACAATTTCAGTGCGCTCAGATCCATTAAATGGAATCAAAGTGTTCGTACAAGGTACCAAGCCCCCGTATTCCAGTCCCGAGCCCAAGAGCAATATTGTAACTGACCCTAAGTATGACAACTTTACAACGTCGTTCAGAGAGGTCGATTGGAAGAGATTACCAGGAAGGAACTTCATCCATTCAATGGAACTTATGATGGCTGCCCTTATGTAATACGGACATTGAGTGGAATTGAATAGTTTGGTGGCTACGATGCTTGCCTTCCAATTCTCTCACTAATGCACATAAAAGCATTACACATTATCATCACCACCAGCTGTCTGAGACACTGATTTATTTTTTAATAATTAAACATTTTTAAATTTTATTTACAGCACTGTATTCTGAATACAAAATAACATTCATGGATAAAAACGCAATAAAGTACCAAAAAAGGCAAGCCTACTTCCATTGTGGTCCAAATAGTACTCTAGGTTGGTCAAATCAGAGAGCCTTCCTGATGGTGTTGGGGCCAGCTATGTAATGTAACATAGTGAAGATGCTGTAGAAACAGTGTATCGATTTTATGGAATCCTGACTTTAGCCTCATTATGAGATTTGCAGTGGCGGTGTTACAGGGGGAATTCCCCCCCCCAGAAAATGTTCTTGTCTTCCCAGGCCCCCCCCCCCCAGGAAAGAAGAAAACCACATTTTGTCGGGGAAAAAAGAAAATTATATGTATTTTCTACATATAAGTAGACTATTTATATATGAAATCGATTAAGTAAACCTTTTGAAAACCCTAAATTGTCACATTTTTCGGGCCCTGCCCCCTGAACCACTTTCTAAGTATTTTAATCGACACCCAACAACACCCACTTTGCTCTCACAGGGGACCTTGGGCAAACCCAAAATTGTACTTTGCACCTCACTTGTTCCCCCCCCCCCCGCTCCCAGATTTCAAACTCTCGCACCGCCACTGGAGATTTTCAGCTTTACAAAGCATGAATGGGCCTTATGGGATAAAAGTAGATTCCTATTGTACAAGTCACCCACGATATAGAAGAAAAAGTTTAAAGCCTCATTTCTAACCCATTTCGTTTCCTAAATGCGCTGTAGAAAAGAAAAAATAGACTTGCAACAAGTCTGAGATTTCTAGAGTCCTAATTGTATATTAATTTTTTATTGGATTTCCGAAGAATTTTTTTATGGTTTTACTACTGACCGTAGGTCTATGGGGAACTATTCTGTTATGCAGAAAAGTACATGAAAAAATCATGTAAAACATTAATGTGGTTAATCAAAAGAAAACCTGTACATATTGTATAAATTGTATATTTATATTGAAATAAATCTGGATTAAATGATTGAAATTGTGTTCTTTATTCAAGTGTACTTAGGGGAATCTGATGTATACACTGCTTTGTTGTTGTGGTAGGAATGCAGTCCATAGCAGTTACGGTTTTTTTTCTGTTGAGATGGTAAAAAGAAAAAAAAGGATCGTCCCCAAACGCCTCAAAGGTTATTTTAAGGTGTCACACAGCACTTTCTTGGGGGCTTTCCCCGGACCCCCTAGGGTAGTAGTACTACCTTGATCGGCCCCACTTTTTGCCCCCTTTTTCAACAACTCTGGATATGCCTCTGAATACAATAGAAAATTTTCCATCAGATGGATGGACAATTCACAATCCTTGCCCCATCCTGATTAGTCAGCTGTCAATTTTGATAGACACTCTCCTATTGATCAAAGGTTAATTTTAAAATTCAAAATAATGGGTGTAGGGTCCATTTGTTTCAACAGACAAAACTTGGCGATTTCCGTAAGTTCCGTGCTTAACTGTACATCCAGCCTCCTTGCCTATTACACTGCTTTCCATAGCTTGTCTGCAGAGTCGTACAAACTCTGTATAGAGCCCAAGTCCAGCATGTTTTTCAATATTATAGTGGTATTGCATTGTTTTACCTTTGACCTTACCACCTAGTGTTGCTTGCGGAATGATCAGAAGGCTTCCTGGCAAATCAAGGATGGAAACATTTTTATCGGCCGTTTCACTTAGTTTCACGTTCAAAACAATAGAAGCTGCAACAGAAACAAAATTCATCTGTTAATTGTTAATAAATAACAGGAAAATGTACTATTGTACTACCTGTATTTCTAAACTTTAAATTAATGGTTTACTTTTGTTATTTAAATATCATAATTCTGTATACTTTTTAGTGTTGGAGTGTGGTTTGGTAACACTGTATATTTTTCTGTTAATTTAAATGAACTAAATAAAGCTACAGTAAAGAAAACTAAAAAAAGTATTACCCATTTTTTCAACCGTTTCCAAAGTTGCACCTTTTAAAAAACATATATAGACTACACAGCCCTCGGCAATCTATTAGTATGGTAAACAAAATAAACAAAATATTTAATGATTGTTTGAAATATTTCAATGGAAGGAATAAAAAAAAATATGACCGTGATTTTTTTTTGGGGGGGGCCGTGGCCCCCGCGACTTCCCCTAGATACGCGACTGCTATCGCCTGTATTGTTGTGCTGTTACTGTCAGTGTTGGGTTTCTGCACAAACTTTTGTGTTTTATCAGCAAGCTTAGTAGTATAATAAAACTAACTATTATTTAACATTTTGTTCCCCACAAAAAAAAAAAGGAAGAAATATCAAGAAAAAAAGATCCAGGCCATTTTATAGGTGTTTGTTCATAATAATGCATGCTTCTCATAGACAAAGCATAAACTAATTCCTCCATGGTCAGAGGGATCATCTTATTCAACACCATAAAAATCATGATGGTCTTGTTCCTTCTTTGCTCTATGCTTTTTATTGTATCAATCATATAAACAATAGGCCTACATGACTTTTATGTAACAATAAAAATTGACTTGAGACACAGTGATTTGTTGTATTTTTAGGCAGACAGTTTTTAGTATTATTATTTGAAAAACATTTCAAAGTAGGCCTATACTTTAATATAGGCCTACTGGACAAATACAAAACAAAATTAAACAGAAAAGGAATCAAAATACAGAGCGGTAATTAGCCTCCGAGAATAGCGGCGGCGCCAGGATTTCGACGGGGAGGGGGGGGGGGGTTGAAAGTCCCTAACGGGAACAAAGTAGGCAGGGTCAGGCGTTGCTAAAAGCAAAATATAACAAGCTACCAGGGAAACAGCTAAGTATAGCGAATTTGAATCTGAATAAGGGCGAAAAACTATCAATACTGTATGTTCGGTAAAAATAGGAAATTCGCACAAGTTAATATTCGCAAAACTGGATCCCCATGATGTACCGACAGGACGTTTCGACTAGCCAGCTTTTAGCTAGGCCTACGTTTTGAGCAAACCAGAGTTGGTAACTCCCTGCCATACCAACGCGTGTGACCATCACTTACATTTACCCATTCTGCATCACTGTCATTAGATGATGGCTTAACTTGTAGTCTCGCAGACAAACATCTCTGCATGATGATCCTAGCGTTGGGTAATGAGGCACTAGGCCTACTAGAACAAGCTTCTCGCACATTCATGGTGACTCGATGATGGCACATTGACATCAGGATCTGAGCGGAATATGAAAACACTTTCGCGAATACTAACTAGTGCGAATAGCTTCGAATACTAACTAGTGCGAATGGATCGGGAAACTGTTTACCATGGTAAGGTTTACCATGGTAAAACCGATGTAACTTTTGTAGGATTGGTACTCATGCTTGACAACAAATGAAGAAAAATACTCAGTTATTAACGTCAGGAATTAATTATTAGTTTATTCACAGTATCACGATGCTCTGAAAGGGACAAGGCATTTTTTTCTCTTTCGTGGGAATTTCACCCACGTGACTTTTATTTCTTTCTCTGTTTGCAATTAGGCTACTTGTCTCATTTTTTCTGACATCAAAGACAGAATATAAAAATTAAAACCAATTACACTTAAGTGTCAGTCCAAAATGGCTAACTGTAATTTCCTTTTCCAACATCGCCATCTATAATTGCTGTCTCTTATACACATCTAGATGTGTATAAGAGACAGGCACTATAATTTCGTAATTTTTATTATTAAAAAAAACAAGGATTGCGTTATTTGCACTTGTGCATCGAATCTTAACCCATTCACAATTTTTATTGCAAAATATCAGATTGAGGTTTGATAATCCTTGTCTTCGAAATGAACTGGTGAATGCTACCCAGGACTGTGGAGTTTCCACCATTCGTCAAGCAATAAAAACAGAGCCACAGCTGTAATATCAATCTGTATCATTCGGTATATTACCTAAAATACTGTAAACCAATCGTGTTGAAATTCATGTACAGTATTGTACTATTTCGAGAAGGCTTCTTAGTTTCGAGGCTACTTTTGCAAAAAGGGGCCTTCAATTCAAGATGGCCTTCTCGAGATTAAGCCCATTGGGCTTCAAATCGAAGTTTTACGGTATAATAATAAGAATGTTTATTGAACAAGGATTTGACATTTTTTAACGGACTCTAACTAACCCAAGTTCCACTCACTTTGTTCTGTACAAGCAACCCAAAAATAACCCTCCACCTCCCCCAACCATGACTGCTGCTGATTATTTGGGGGCAGCAAACACGTTTGTCTCCTGGATCGATCGTGGTGTGTTTGCAAGAAGAAGCATCAACACCACACGCGTTGCAGTAAAGTTCCAGTTTTCGAAGTTTTCCAACTTCACACCAAAATGAGTAGTGAAGAAGAGCTGCAAAGAAATGTTGAAGGACTCATTAAGAGTATAACTATAACAATGGATCCGCAAGTTTCTCATGAACAGCGCACAGAAGCATACCATGTAATAAAACCTTCCCGACCTAATCAGAGGGCATAACCCAGCCAGGCCGAGCAAAGCTGGCTAGGCCTAACCTAGGCTAGTGTAGGACCTTAGCAAAGGCCTACTTTTTAGGCAAGGCATAGGCCTAGTTACTAGGCTAGTACTAAGTAGGCTAGGCCTACTATTTGTGACTAGTTAGGTAGTTTGTTAGAGCCTATCTTATTACCTGATCTTAGGGCCAGTTGTAGTTGTAGGCGTCCTTGACCCCAGGCTGGCCTGCGCGGCTTGGAATATATTATAGGCCTAGGCCTATCCTCAGCACAAAAATTTTGTTTGGAAATCCTTCTGCACATTTCGGAAAATAATTGCAATTATGCAGCAGTTGCAATTCCGTGCACCTATTTTCCGAATCCTAGCGATTTTGCGGTGTAAATTTGAGCTGATTTTTTAAATAGCCTCCGTGCAACTGAAAACTTTTACAGTATGGCCGTGACCTTGTTGCAAAAATTTACCATCCTGCCCGGAAATATTTCACCCTCCCTTATCGATTTGGTACAGTACATTGTTGACTTTTATTTTTGTGGGTAGGAAATATTTGCACTCACTCAGGCCTAGGCCCCATGTATTTATATGCTCCTGACATGCTGTAGTGCATTGAGACAGTACAGTAATACTGAAATTCATGGGTCCCAGGCCTCCCAAAACTTGTGGAAGAATTATCCCAGAAAAGCAGGACAGCCTCCCACACTTCCACAAGTTCATTGCATGTTTTCACTGCATCCTGCAACGCATTCTCTAGTGCATGTCATGACTTTGGATTGTCCATCAACCTAGGAAAAACTGTGATTTTGTCCAATGGAAGTGTGACTCCACCAAACATCATTATTGATGATTCTCCTCTTGAAGTTGTCAACAAATTTACCTACCTTGGATCCACTGTTACAGACAACAGCACCTTAGATGCTGAAATAAGTCATCGCATAGGAAAAGCTGCAACTACTTTCGGTAAACTGCGTACCAGAGTTTGGAACAATAGAAAACTTGATATATTCTTAACAGACAAGATTTACACCGCATGTGTCCTGAGTGTTCTACTATACTGCAGTGAGACTTGGCCAACCTATCGTAAACTTGAGCATCAACTAAATTCCTTTCGATGTCTTTGCACAATACTAAAAGTAACCTGGGACAAGAAAATACCTAATACAAAAATAATGGAAATGATTGGTGCCACTGATGTGTACACCATGCTGAGTGCTCGCTGCCTCAGATGAACAGCAGGGGCGGATTTAGGGGGGGGCCGGCTCGGCCCCGGCCCCCCCCCCCCCCCTTGGGGGGGGAAAAAAAAAGGAAAAAAAAGGAAAAAAGAGAGAAAAAAAAAAAAAAAAAAAACCAGAAGAAACAGTTATTGAAAAAACTAAAATATATTAAAGATCGATATCAATAATTTCATTGTAATTAACCCCCTAGGTCATTGTTGTCTCGATCGGCCCAAATTTCGGCCCCCCTTTCGGCCCCCCCCTTTTGGACATCTCTGGATCCGCCCCTGGACAGGGCATGTCTGCAGACAGGATGTAGCCAGGCTTCCAAAGAACATCTTATATGGTGAGCTAGCAAGCGGAAACCGTCGCCGAAGTCGACCAAAACTACGCTGCAAGAATGTCCTGAAACGCGACCTAACTTCCATTGACATTCCATTATCATCCTGGGAAGAACTGACGCAAAACCGCTCTACTTGGCGCAACCTCCTTTACAACAGACGCACGCATTCTAATCCCGAATACATCAACCGCTGTAACAAGAGGAGGGAGCAGAGACACCGGAACTTCCCAAAGTCGACTTAAAGGTGGTACTGTACCACATGACAGATGTCAACCTAAATCATCGTACTCGATGTAAAGGCCAATGATGATGATTGTATATTAAATGGACCTTTCGCTAAACCCCCACCCTTATTCTTGCTAAGGTCCCACAAGACGACAGTATTAAGACATACGCAAACATGTACGCATATTGCTGGCCCAGTTCTGATCGGTCGTTGATAAGTTTGATTGAAAAGTCCATTGTCTCACGGAAGTCAGTGCTGATGGGTATCACTGTGTGCACAAAAATGAAATTAGATGTGTAAAGATAGCTCATAACCAGATCTCTAGGAAGTGAATTCTTCTAACTTACATAGCACCCCTGGAAGTTCTAAGGTTAGAGTCAAGCCAGTTCCACTCCAATCAACACCTCGGATTTACGTAAAATCAATGGAACAATACCAATGGCCAATAATTCATTATATTTATACTTCCTAAATCTTTTGAATTTGTTGGGTGTGGGGGGGGGGAGGTGGTGACTTTGTTATATGGCTAGTTTGCAGGGGACTTTTACAGGGCGAGTGCAAGGGGGTGAATATGTAAGGGGGAAAACTGGTATGGGCCGATTTTGCTAGGGGGAGACTTGACTTGTTCCCCTTGATAAATCATGTTTCAAAATATATTTAATCATAAATATCTGCTTAGGCACAGACAGTAAAATGAAGTGCTAGAAACTTAAACATCCAATTTTTTCTTCCAGATGTACGAGGAATTTAAAGAGAAATCAGAATTGTGTGTCCAGTGTGGTATGGTGCTTGCCAAGACAACCTATCCACCAATCATCAGACATTTTGGCCTCCAACTTCTGGAGCATTGTGTCAAGTAAGGCACAAAAAGTAGCGTAGAAATGTTCAGTTTCAATGAATGCCCCCCCCCCCTCGCCGCCGCCATCATTTTAAAGACTATCTTAGTATATCCAAGTATCTGTAAATTTCATTTCATTTCATTTATTCGTCTTAAAACATTAATATTGACAGTAAAGGAAAACAGCAAAGAATAAGCACAGACAGTATGAGACAGGAAACCCCAAAAGCGAACTTAATCGCTGTCGAGTGGGGGCCCTTCACAAGAAAGAACCAAATGCTTACAGAATAGACGTTTTTTTTAAAATATATCAACATTTAAAGTTAAAAAAAGTTCAATAGTAAAATTGGCATAATTTAAAAGATTTAAAATATTAACATTTTCAGATGATTCAATAAAGTTTACTTTAAAATTCAAATTTAAAATGCTAGGGTATAAGAAGAAATATAAAAGCAATTAAGCTATTCGTTGCCAAAATAACTTGGAATTTCAATTTTTGCTACAGCTTAGCCATTTTGTCACAACATGCGTCCATGTAGACTAATACCTAATTGCGTTATGGAAGACTAATCTCATATTATGTTCCGATGATATTTGATACTATATTTTTACAGTTGGTATTACATTATATTCTAGGTTCCGTTGGCTAGCTATGAATCCCAACCAGAAGATGATTTTCAAAGATGCCACTGTGTCTCTCATTCGAACTGTAAGTTTTGTTGGAATTTAATTTGGAAGTTGTAGCACTCCTAATTTGTGTAATTTTAAATCGGCGAACACACTGATTCAACTGACGGTCAATGACCGATGTGGTATTTTTAGTGTCATCCACTCAATCAGCCACCAGCAATTGGCAAATTGGGTCATGTCATCAGTCTCTCACAGAGTGGTGATAATTTGTTGGATTGTCATACAACAATCGTGCGATTCAGTGTGGGCCAAGCTTTACCCACCAATAAAAACTCCACTTCTTAACCATCAATATAAAGTTTTTTTGTTTGAAGTGGCAAGTAACTTGGATGAATTTTGTAAATCTGTATAATTTTGTTGTTTTGTTTAAAGGGTGTGCAGGATATTTTAGAAGAGGAGACGTTTATTAAAGATGGCCTTTCAAGGATCATGGTTGAAATGATAAAGAAAGAGTGGCCACAGCGCTGGGAGAGTATGTTACAAGAGCTTGGTCCTCTCTCAAGGTGTGGAGTAAGTATTCAATACAATTTTCATTTGCATAATATGAAATACTCTATTGTGGTACTTAATAATATTATCAATTTTATTAATATTTTTTTTAATTTTTTTTTTTTTGAATACTCAGTACATTCCCAAATACTTTTTCAAGTAAAAAAAAAAAAATTTGCAAGTGATCAGGTGGGAATCGAACCCAATACCTCCAGGTAGCTAGTCTGGTGTCATAACCACTAGACCACTGAGTTTGCGCTTAGTGACAAATGTTGAATCGGATCCCCAATATTCGGTACAATAACACATCAGGTAGGGCAAAACATCACTCCTATGATATTTTTTCCTGACGCGCACATACATCGTAAACTGTTATTGTTCTTTTTGTTGATGATGTTGTTGTTCTTTCAATCGTTTCAATCCAAAGAAGTGGCAGTAAAGATTGATGGACAGTAAATGCTTATTTTCATTATTGCCTGTAATAGTAAATTTTTATATTTTAGTCAACTCAGTGTGAAATGGTGTTGCTGGTTTTGTTGCGTCTGGTAGAGGACGTTGTATCGTTTCAAAACTTCGACCAAAAAAGGCGTAAAGACATCATGGCTGGGTTACAGCACAACATGACGGACTTGCTTGAGTTTATGTTTGGAATGCTGCAGGACAACTGTAACATGTACAAGCAAGCTGTAAGTTGCTGGTCTAGTTGATACTTATATCTTATAACAGGTGCAAGTCAGGTTCCGTGAGAATTTTTGAGCATTAACTCTATGGTCCAGGCTTGTGCCTGACGTAAACTGTGTTTACATTGGGTTTTTTGAGCCAGGTAGCTTTCCACGATTGTGCCACACACAGCTTGACCTGATCTTGTGTGAAGATATTGGCCAACAGGAAAATGTTGCTTGCACTATCGAATAACTATTTTAGGTTTGCTGATATGCTGTTGTGGTCACCCATATCTCGCTAGTTACAGATTGGCGCTTTCACATCTGTCGTTTTTCACTCGGGCTTAATATCATGACTAAGGGCTATTGTGAGTCACACAAGACCCAACATGGTGCCTCCTGGAGTACCTGTCCAGGTGTGAGAGGGACACCATATAAATATTTGTTTATTATGATTATTATAAAAGATCTGGGAAAAGTATCTCGCGGTCACATGGATTTTACCTATCTATCTCATTATCTATTGATCCGACCAAAGCCAATTTGATTACGTAACATACCTAATTTAAATTTGCCTTTATGATGTTATCACTGACACAGCTTAATATATTGTTTAAACAAAATCTGTGAAGGTCAATTTTCAAATTTGTCATTTCAGATGGAAACCAACGGTCGTAACAGCCATGAGGTTGGTTCAACTTTTATATAGTATAATAACTTTTATATAGTGTAATAACTTTTAATATAATAACTTTTATATCTATTTTTATTTACTGAAAAAGAATCAGCATGAATTATAAATAAATATGTAATAAATTGAATAAAACATGCTATTGCTTATAATAACCTTAATCACTAACGAACCAACCAACCATTATTTTCATAATTTTCACAAAAAAATAGGCCCTCTGCCCATGTTTTCGTCTTGGACATTTGTATGTCAAATTTGTAATAAATAAATAAATAAAAAAACTTATGCTAGAGGAGGAATTTAATGGCATACTCCTTAAATGAGCAAATAGATGTTCTCAAAATGACAATATCATTTAATTGTGTACACCTCTGGGCGGAGGGGAGTGAAGATTGACCCCTCCTCCATTTAAAAAAAAACTATAAAAATGATTTTGAAAAATGTTCCTTTCCATTTTTTTTTATTGTTGCACCTACCACCTCTTACTGTAGGTAAAAATTGCAAGTAAGCTGACAAATGCTGCTCTAGAAACAATCGCAGGTTTTGTGGAATGGATCGCACTTCCGTTGGTGTTCCTGAACGATTGTGCATTGCCACAGACACTTTACCAGCTTCTGCAGGAACCGGAATTGAGGAACAATGCTGCTGAAATTCTCAGTATTATTGTCAATAGGAAGGTATGAATTTTGTTTTTCTTTAATAATAATATTCTGAATACAAAGTAGATGGTCAGATGATGTCCCTAATTTTCATAGGATAGTAAATAGTAAATTGATACTTATAGTAAATTAATACTTATATTGAGTGATTAGTAGAGCTGCGCATAGTAAATTATTATACCAAGTTTAGATGTAATGCTTGAAAAAATTTTTGAATACATTAAATGTAACCTAATTATAATAACTTAATAATTTTCGTAGTGTAAGATGTATGCAGCTATACTCATTGCTTTATAAGTCAATCGCCTCTTTTAATGTTAGTTTTGCTAATCAACTGTTGGAGCAGTCATCAGTATCTGTGTACATATCACAGGCAAATATCACTAGGAATTGCAATGATGACATCATGATTGACTTATAAAGCACATTATTACCTAGTCTCTAAGGCAGAGGCACGGTCAGAATGTTGGTGGGCCTGGTAAGCGCTTTTCGAAGAAGAGGGAAACCGAGGCCAGAGCTGAGGGTCTCCAATGACCGGTGATTTGGGGTCCATGGGAAATCATCGTTTTTTTTATCTTCTAGGAGACTAATTTTGTGATTTTTTATGATTCTCTCCTCTAATACTTTCCAAACACAATAAACAACAATCAACTTGAGATCCATCAGCATTTTATATTGTCAAAAATTTAATATTCAAACTTATTTGCAAATTATTGGTGAAGCCTACAAAAGGGTTGGCCCACCCAGTAAAATGTTTGGGTAGGCCTACCCTGTGCTTTCTCCATTGGTTTGTGCCACTCTTAAGAAAAATAGAAATTCAGAATAGAATAGTCCCCAAGTCTACAATGTCTGAAGTAAGTATATCATGATAGATTAATCCTTGACATTCTAAACTCGCTATTACTAACAGAAAATATATATTTGATTGTAATGTTTCTTCTCCTCTTGTTTTTTAAAGGATCGATTGAAAGACCGACAGCCTTTGAATGTTATGTTCAGCAAGAATGCCATGGTGGCTATCTTAAGCTCAGCCGAGTAAGTTGTTACACATTTGATTTGCTGAATTCACTCACTGTTCTCGTTTTTCTTAATCTGTTCGCTTTCAAGATACTTGGTAAATCTGTTCATAGATGTGACTGCTGTATTGACAGATAGAATGTGCTATCAGACTGGGCACATACTGCGCAAATGGTCGTCGACCAACACAACTCCATGCAGAGCGCAACGGGACAAGGCACGTGCAACGGATCACTTTTAATGGCAAATGGCATTCCACTTAGACAATCAGCAGTCAGTGTCGCATTGTCAGGCACTCATAGAGTCTAGAGACAGTGTTTCGGTGACTGACGGTTGTACAACCTTTGGAAGATGCAGTATTTGCCTAGCTGAAGCCACGATAAACACGAAATACTTAATTCAATTCTTGTGTTTTCTAGGATTGCAAGCCAAGAGGCAGTGAATGAGCAGAACTACATATTTTTGAAGAAAATTTGCCGCTGTGTGACTGGAATGGGCTTTCAGATGTGTGCACTATGGGTAACATATTTTTTCAACATTTTGAATAGTTTAATATACAAAAAATCAGCTTGAGCGGCTCAAGAAGAACAAAGATACCAAGTACTAGTTACAGCCAACTTATTCTACTGAGCCATTTTCTGCTGTAGAATATTGTGATGATGCTGATGATGGTTTGATGATAGTTGTAATGGTAATGGTAATAGTGATGATGGTGTTGTGGCATTTATTTATTTATTTTATTTTATTCTGCCTTTAACGTGGTAACACTCTCCATGACGCAGCACTGATCTCACTAGTGGATCACATGAACAATGAAAAAAAATTATAATCAGAAAATAAAAATTTGAAATAGTAATGATGATGATTTTAATGATACTACATAATAGAATAGTCAATTCAATTCAATTCAATTCATTTTATTCAGTCTATTATACATAAATATAACAGAAATGTGCTTTGAAGCTAAGTGATCAAACATAAATAGTTAAAAACAGTTTTGTTTTTTAAAATTAGTTTATGTTAATTTGTTGTTGTATTCTTTAATTTTGCTTGCTATACATATTAGTTATTAAAAGAGAATAATACATTTTTTAAGAAAAGTTGATATTTTTTGCATACATTTTGGATTACTGGTTATGACAACCAATTAGATTGCTTGCAGAATTTGAAATTTGAATATACAAACCAATACGATTGCTTCCAGCTCTTGAAATGTTTGAATTCTTGATTATGAAATCCAATTATATCACTGCCAGCATTGAGAATGAACCCATCATTGCTTCCGCATCCGTTTTAAGTGTTTCCATTCGTTTCCAGGTTGACATGAGATCTTGTTTTGTTATGGAAACAGCTGCAGCATGAACATAGGTACAAATATGTATATGATCACTCATGAACACCAAAGCTCCAAATCTTTTTAAAGATAAAATCTGATAACAAAAGATCATTCCTCAAAAATAAAAGCTCAGAAAATTTGTTTATAGGTATACATATTTTTGTCTCCTTAAAATAGAGAGATGACAATGGTAGATATTTTCATATTTATTGTTGTTTATAGAAAGGTAGAAATTCTACAATAGAGAATGAATTGTTATAAATTGGGGAGAGGGGTGCATAGTGTGCACCATGGTCTGAAACCAAACAGATATTGGTGTCCTCAAAACCCCCCTACCCAAAAAGGTGATGAAATCACAAACAGTCCCATAAAGTGATATACCAAATTTGATCATAAATTTTTGTTTGAATGAACACAATAAAACACAATAAAAAGGATTTGCTAATTGTTATTTAAGAGCTCTGGTTTTCATGAGTACAATCAAAGAGTATATAATTGCAAGTGGTCCGACTGCCCTGATTTCGTATGCACGCAATGGAACATTAAAATAAGTACTGCCACGATATAGGGGGAGCCCTATTAGAATGCAAATAAAGTTTGCTCGAAACTCATCTTTTAGGGACATGCAACTTCATGGCAGTACTTTTTGAAATAGGATTACATTCCAACGAAATCACGAGAGTGGGACCTTTTTGCAGTTCTATACTCTTCGGTACTATTTTGACGATTCTTTATAAACTTATGTAACTGTTCGTTTCTTGTGATTCTGATTTGACTAGGGCGCGAGTGACAGCGATGGGAAGTCCAAGAAGCCTGAGAACTTCAAGGAATATCTGAGCGCTCTGATGGCATTCACTGGTCATGCCAGTGTTCATCTGAGCCAGATGACCCTAGCCACCTGGTCTCTGTTCTTTCGCACTCCTATCATCGCGCAGGATCCATGCGTGCATGAGGTCCTGCCCAGATTCCTCAAGATCGTGACTGTTCAGGCTCAGAAGGTAGGCAGATGTCTGCATCTGACGCCGTTGCAGAATCACTGACATATGTTTCCGAGATGGTGGGTGATGGCCACTGTAAGGCCAAGAGTTTGGGTGCTAGGCCAGTTAGAGATGACTAAACTATTAATGCTAGCCCGTAATGTTAGATACTGTGCCCTATACAACAGGTGCCACAGTCATTTAGCTTGTTATAAGTGCTAAGATTTTGGGTGATACAACCTGATGTGGGGTGCCAACACTCTACTGGTCAGTTTTATAGAGATGGTGGGTGGTAGGTCCTGAGAACATTCTGGGTGCAATAGGCTGATTCACCGAGATTTTGGCCCCCATGAATTTTTTTTATCTTTAACCCTCAAATTCACTTGGAGATTCAATCCCCTTTGGGGAATTTACCCTGGGAAGTGGGGTGCCAACACTCTACTGGTCAGTTTTATAGAGATGGTGGGTGGTAGGTCCTGAGAACATTCTGGGTGCAATAGGCTGATTCACAGAGATTTCGTCCCCCATGAATTTTTTTTCTCTTTAACCCTCAAATTCACTTGGAGATTCAATCCCCTTTGGGGAATTTACCCTGGAAAGTTATTAAATGTCACAGTGGGAGGAGTAGAGCCAAATTCTTGTAATGCTGCCTTTATTAGAAATGGATGAGCGTGGTATGCTCTAGTGTGGATCCAACCATTCTAGCTAGATACTGCCATAAATACCTAGAGGGTGAGTCAGGTTTGCCTCTATGATCTATGCTGTGATAGCAACTCCTAAAATAGATTGTAGGCCATGATTGGGATTTTGAGATTGTGGGTACAAAAGCTGTACACTAGATACTGTAGTGCACCATGAAAGAGGAGTGTTACACGACACAACTCTAGGTAAAATTCATGAATTAATAGTTTCTGTTAGAGGAGATGATCTTTTATTTCATTTTAAATTTTTTCAAATTTATAAAGCCTTATCAGTAAATAAAAATTGGAATTATAGTTATGCAATATATGGTAGCAATGTACTGTACTATGTAAAGCAAGTAAACTTGCTTTTGAAGTGAAAATGTGTCTTTATTTTTCTGAATTTTTTACTGAAAATTATCAAATGTGTATTTGTTGATGTAAGGTCGCAGAACCGTCTATGATGCCATCCCCCAAGGCCGAGTATTTCCGTTTGGATTTTGATTCTGAAGATGAGTTCATGACGTTTTTTGCAAGTAAGCAGATCAAACATTATTCTTACTAATATGTTGAATAACTGATAATAATTGAAATGTTGACTGTTGTATTAATTAATGTCGTCGTCTTCATTATCATTTTCAATTGGTAGCTTACCGTTCGTTGCTATTGGAGGAGGTAAGGCACTGCAATAACATATGCCCTCTATTGACGTTTCAAGTAGCCGAGCAGTGGCTTAAGGAAACTCTGGTGGAACCTCTTAAATACGAACCTGGTAAGTACATGCAGATAAATTAATATACAATTATAGTCAAGTTTTGAGAACCCTATAGAAAATTGAGAGACCGTAGGAGCCATTATATGAAAAATTGTCCTGAAGCCTGTAGGGCTGAAGGCAATATTTAAAGAAAATAATGCCTCCTAAGGCTTATATTTTCTAAAGGGTCTGAAAATAACCAATAAAAGTCAATCACCTTGTAATAACCATGTACCATTCTAGGCCATGCCTAGGTGGACTAGTAGTGCTAGGCTTCATTCGCATTATCCAGCGCCGTAGAGGGAGATTTGTTAGGTTCACTTTGGGCATTCAGAACTTGTATGATGTAAAACAAATCCAGCTTCAAGTTTTTGACGCAAAAAGTAGCAGAATTAGTGCCCGCTCGGGAATAGGAAAATTATATGCAAATAAAATTGATGATGTTCACAGCTGACTCAAACTGTAATAGAAATTATGACAAGAACAATGTTGATAACAGGGGCAGCAGGATTGTTGATGGTTAAGAACTTGTATCTAATTATATATTTAATATTAAATATAAGATCAAATATATGTATAAAGTGTATATTAAAAGTATATTTGAGAATAATGCTTAATTGTATTTTGTTCTTAGGCAAGACTGTGATAACAAATAGTAGTCCATCTTTCTTGCAATGGGATGCGTTGACATGCTTCATGGAAAGCGCCATGCCTCGTGTGTTGAAAGGTGTTGATGCACCAGTCGCACAGGGTGAAGAGTTATTGAAACAGGTCCTAGCCTATCAGACAGCAGTAAGTAGCAAAATTATGCCAAATATCAGATTATACAAACTGGTACACAAACAAACATTACACAAACTACATTAGGTATTGTAAAACAAAGTTAATATACTGTATGCATCCCAATGGTGTTAAAAAGCGCTTGGTAATCAAATTAACTCTGGCTTTGCGACCCCTCTGTTAATAGATTATTCCATCAATTTTCATTCATAATCTTTGTTCCGTTTTTCAATCAATCTGTTTGAAAATTATTTTTAGGCAATGATTTTAGTTACAGCTTGTTTTATGAGGGACAAGTGCTGCTAATTCTACCCTTTGATATATACGAAACACTCTTCTACATGATTCTGAGTTAGGGTTAGGGCAGTCATATTTCCTCTGGTATCAGCCCTGACCTTTAAATAATATTGAGTTTTGGAATTGGTTTATAACAAGGACCAGATAATGTAAACAATAATTGGTCTGCAAGCCTAAGCTAGGCTAAGATTGATCTAGCCAAGGCCTTATTATTTAGCCTAGGCCTTATTCTCACAAAGACATCTATGTTACCAGCCAGTAGAAAGAAGAAAACATTTCCTAAAAAAATTAATTTAGAGAAATCTTAAGAAAAGGATCACCCACATACACTGCAGTAACTTATAAAATAATATTTATTTTCCAACAGGATGCTCTGATATCATCTTGTGTCTTGAGCTGTGTTTCAACCCTGTTTCCCCTCATACGCCATGTCCCACAATACCTTTCCCCGATTCTCGACAAGGTAAGCACAATTCAATTCAGTTTTAATCGCTACTGTTGCCATCAAGTGCAAATATTTGTTTAAACAATACAATTAAAATAGTAATACAAAACTGATAAAATTCAAGGAATCTGCTATGGTTAGAGTCAAGATTCCTAAGGCAACAATAAACCAAATTATTAGTCACCAAAACAATACTGCTCTAGTGGGTATCAAAATAAATCGCTGGGTGGCATTTTTTTCACACAATAAGAAGCCTCCACTTGAATAAATGTCAACAGTTTTTAAACTCCTCAAACTTGTTTATCTGTACATACTATCATAAACTAACATATTGAAAAGCCTTGGTAAATATTCCTTTAAAAAACGTCAGATATTTGACCCATTAGATTTGAAATGGAGTGAAAGAAACAAATAAAAAACACTTGAACATTTTTGCATAGCCTCGTCGTGCGAACATGAGTCTAGCCCAGACTAGAGAGTGATAGGACTTTGGCGATGTAAACAAAGTTTAATACCCACTCGGCCAAATTTTGATGATGTGATCTTTGTGACTAATTTGGTCTATTGTATTCCCACATACAGCCCACATACAATCAGGTTTTTGTTTTTTTTCATTTTTCTCAAAAATCAAGGAACTCACAATTTAAGCTGGGCACTCGCTGTGTCCAACTTTGCTCCCAGTGATTGCTAGGTGATGCCGTCTCCTGATTGTGGGTGCCTGGCTTCACAGGATGAAAGGATCTTCTATAAACTGAGTCTTGTTAAGAGACTAATGAAGAGGAATTTTTATTGTCATGAGAAATAAACAGTGACAGTGCTACGGGGCAAAGGGAATTTTTCCCCCAAAAAATTTTCTTGCCCCCCCCCCCCTCCACCCAGTTTTTCCTCAAAAAAAAAGATAAACCACAATTTGTTGGGGACAAAAAATTAAATGTTTTTTACACATATAGTAGACTATTTGTAAAAAAATTTGATTAAATAAGCCTTGGAAACTCCTAAATTGTCATATTTTTGTGTCTCTCGTCGTGGACCTTTCCCCTTCCCCCTAAAATTGTGCTTTGCCCCTCACTTGCCCCCCCCCACTCCAGATATCAGTCGTGGCCAACACCACTGGAAATAGGTATATTCTAGTGTAATACAGGAGTCCCGACAGACTACATGAGGAAAATTAATATAAAATTAATTTTTTCTTGCAGTTATTTTCAGGAGTAACTTTTACAGTACCTGGACAGTCGAAGGTATATTGGAAAATATTTTTGTTTTGTTATTTTCTTTAAAGTTATTGAACATAAAATATTGTTTTTTAAAATAACATGCAACATTATTGCTCATAGTTATGTTCTTTAAGTTGTGAACTTTGATTTCATTGGTTGACCAACCCAACTGTCAATAATTTTTGACCAATATCCATATTATTGACCTTAAACCATCAAATTGACAGTTAACTGTGATCCAGCAATTGCCCATGTCATAAGATGTGCCGAAGTGTGACCTCATATTGCAGACATAAAGCCAAACTCACATAATGACCTTTTTCCATGACCTGTGACTATGTCATTAGCACTTATATCTGATATTAACTAAATATATTTAATTATGTGTTATATGGTATGTTTTTTCTTTTAGAATACAAGAACTCGTTCAGTTCAGAATGTGAGGAGACACGCTTGTTCCGCTTTGATTAAAATGTGCCGTGACAGTCCAGAGCTTGTCATGGTAAGATGAATTATGGGTAATTTCTTAGGCTGCTTGTTACATTTTACTAACTAAGGTAGAATATTTTTACATCTGTCAATTGTATTGATAGAATGTTGATTCTTGCTACACATTTGATTTTAAAAAAAATGAGAGCTTTCATATTTTAAAGAAAGCATTGAAAAAAATTACCAATTTTCTGGAAGTTTGATGTCAAAGACTCGAACAAAATAATCAATGATTTAAAAAGAAATGTCATTGATAATTCATTTGTTAAATTCCTAACTATATCACTTTCTTGAAAATTGTTGCCTGCCATTTGTATGGATAATGTTTTCGACATTGAGTACTTTCAACAGAAACATCTAGGTGTTAATGAGGCACTGCATTGCCTTATCTAATAGCAGGCTGGAGAAACCAGGATTTTTGTATTTAAAGTGATTGTGATAGTGAATCCAGCTCTCAAAAATAATGATTTTATTATATGAAACTGCCATATAAATGTAATAATCAATTTTATATATTTTTATGTTTTAACTTAGCCTGAATTTGAGAAGATATACGCTGCTATGAAAGAGCTTAGCGCTGATCCCCATCAGCTCACCCAGCTAGAGAAAGTGGCTCTATATGAGGCTCTGATACTTCTTAGCAACCAATTCAAAGATTACAACAGGCAGACAGAGTTCCTGGCAGGAATCTTAAAGCCGATTTGTGACGTATGGCTGTCCGATGAGCTCACATTGTAAGTTTTAAATATTCATTTGTCCTACATCCGTTTTGAACCATTATTAGGTAGTTTTCGCAGCAAGACGTTACCCATAAGATTAATGTTAGTACATAACATGCAATGTGATAGGTCCGCCCCTTTTTGTAAACAAATCGAAATACGCATGCGCAAACCCGTAACTAACATACTTCGACCAACGTAAAATCCTGAAATTAACATACTCAGCAACGCAAGATGAATAAATTATGACGTCATACGTTAAGGTTAAAGTCGTGCGGGGAAAACTACCTCTTTTGTGTACTATTTGATAAGATAACTTTATTTCTAGAAATGTCAAATTGAAAAAAAACGATTGAAGAAATAACAGTTTTTTAAGTTGGACAATGAGTTAAATAATATAATAGTCTCATTAATTTATTTTATTTTTTTAGGGGAATTTCAACTCCTGAAAACTTCATATCGTTTGTAGGCCTTGAGAAGTACGATGAAGAAGATCCAAACGGGATCAACAGGGCACATATCATTGGTTCTGTACAAACTATAGTTGCAGTAACTAAGCGATGTACTTGGCCTGAAAACTTTGAGGTATATTTACATGACAGTAGGGATAATTTATTAACAGAAAGCTATTAGTTCTGTAATTTTGTAGACCTTTCTGTTGTCACATCATTAAACTTAGTAGTTAAACGACACAACTCATCCACTGCTTTACGATGTTACTCTTAGCAAATCTGGTTTTCGTCTAAATGTATCAGTCAACAAACGTTGCCGTTATAGTTCCCAACTCCATTCACCTTCATAATAATAAAAATGTTAGTAGATAATTTTTAAGTGCATTTTTGGCCTAATTTAATTATGTTTAATGTGTTATATTTTATAATAATGTAATTGATACTGTTTGGTGCTCGAAGTTTTATATTTGTAATAAATATGTAATTTCTGAGTATTCCAGACAATAAGAGTGGAATGTAATTTCTGAGTATTTCAGGCAATAAAATTATCTTGAATCTTCAATCTTGGTAGCATCTGTTTTAACAAGAATTGTATATAAATATATATATACAGATTTCCTTAAGAAATCAGATAAAACAATACTTTTAAATTATATTTTTTATATTTATTTTACTGTAATTGCTTTGTATATTTAATTACAGGGTAAACAATTATTAAATTTTATTCATCAGGTTTATATTTAATTAATCATGTTGAAATCTTTAATCTTTCACATTGATCTGCAGGAAGCTAAAGCTGGTGGCTTTATTCAGAGTATGACTAACAATGGAATGCCCATATATAGAAATCCATGTACGCCCTTGATTGCCAAACTGCTGAACAATGTTTTGATATTAACAAAGTGAGTTTCTACCAATCTGTAATCTTGAATAAACAAACATTAAGATTGTAGTCTTTATTAAAACAGTCATAATCTAAATAGTGATCATTATCATTGTTATCACCGTAATCATTATCACAAAAATCACAAGCACTACTATTAAACATCATCATTACTACATAAAAATTTTATAAATATTTGATGGCTTAACCATGAATTTTAGGCATGTTACTATCTTGCCTTCCAAAATCCCTCAGCCGCACCATGGTTCGAGCGGAGGTACAAAATTTTATGTTATGGCACTTCTAGATGACTGGAAATTGACTTAGAAACTAAAAATTTGAATGTACTTTTCTTTTCCCCCATTAAAAAATAAATTAGCAGGACCCAGGCTGCCTGTCTGAGTCCACATACCCACATATAATAGGCATTATATAGTAAAAGTGGAATTGCTGACCGAACCTGATTTTCAGGTCAATGGTTGATGTGTTGTTTCTCAATGTTGCTAACCATGCAATATCTGTGTTTAGGACACTTAATGCACTGTGGTCACAAGAGATACAGGACAAAGTATACCCTGGGTTTAAACAGGCTTATGAGATGATGGAGTGTGACAGACAGGCTCTACTTGGTAAGTTTTATTACATCAGGGAAAGGTACATGCATATTTTCGAACATTCTCGTCAAGCTATGCAAGAACTTATTAGCCATGCACAGCTATAACAACGTCATTATGGATGCAAACGTATTGGTCATCCTGGCAAGAACTTACATTGACCAACTTAGTGCAGAATCTGGCCGTACACCTGCTAAGCTACCAAATGCAATGCAGGATTATGATACATGGCGTGAATGAGGCCAACAATCCTGGGAAAACTAGACCAGACGATGATATCTTTAAAATTTTTAAATGGAATGATGGGGTGATGAATAAGAAAAACAATGATGATAATAGGAATAGAGAAGGTTAATGATGTTCGTGATGATGATAGTGATGATAATTGTTGTATTGGTGGAAGTGGTACCAGGAGTAGTGACAACCTGTATTTTTATTTATTCTTCATTTTTATATTCCAGGCTCCTTTTCCATGGTAGGATCTTGTGATGCACCAATATTAAGAACTCTGCCAGATAAGCTACAAAGCTTCCTGACTATGCTTCATGACCTCTGGTAAGTTGAAACTAGCTTAGGTATTGATCTGGTGTCAGGAGACTACTAAAACAATCCGGTAACATATTTATGTATGCAGTAACGTATGCAATATGGGAAGAGTATATTTTATGTTCCTTAGTAAAATACAAGTGGAGTTGATATAAATAGCTTGGTGGTTAAGATACTTGTCTTACAAGGTCCTGGTTGAATTCCTGTTGCAGGATGTTTGTCTTCATTCCTTCAGCCTCATATTGAGATTCTGTTCTGTGTAAAGCATTGTGTGTGTTTGTTTTACCTGTAAAAGGGAATTTTACCTACATATAGGACAGTGATATGTTCACTGTTGACAATTCTTGGTGCATGTGTTGTGTGCCTAAATAAATAAATAATAAAAATAAAGGGACATATTATAAATCCCCAGTATGTTATTTACTATTTATTGTGTTTCACTTTTATCACATGTAAAATGAAAAAAATCATATGTTACAATAATGATAATTAATTTATTTTTTTTTATATTTACAGCTACCACACACTAGCTGGGGCTAGTCATTGTCTGGGTTATGAATTCTATGCGTCACCAGGCCTTGCTGAGCAACTCTTGTCAACAACCTTCACTAACCTCGACATGTTGCCAGACCACAAACTCAGACCACTTATTCATATCCTTTTATATATGTAGCTTTTACGATTTGAAGTATATTCATCGTAAAAAAAGTGTGTTCATCAACAAAAACTAAATTGTTTTGATATATGCGACCAGCTCTGGCAAAACCCGCCGTTTGTCGCAATGTGTACATAAAACAGGTTATAGCAGTCAAAATAGCTTCAAAAAGCTGAATTGCAAGTGAGTTGTTACAAAACTTAGCAACTCTGGGTAACAAAGGTTAAATTATAGAGACATTACGGATAACATACAGTAAATCATTAAATAACTATGTTCCAATCATACAGATTTCTGTATCAATTAAATGTTTGAGAGGCTTTTTTTCAATTACCAAACAGTGTGCATATACATTGGTTTGCATTAGCTTGTGATGCTATTTAAATCCAAGTTTAATATTATCTGGGATCCCCTGAATATTTTCTTGTAATCTAAATATTGGCTATGGTCAGAAGAAGGAACGCATGTCACAATAGCAATTCAGATACTCTTGAAAATCATAATTACGTTTTACAAAAGTTGCATCCTACAGGTATTCATAAAATGCCTGGTTCATAAAGTTATAATTTTGTGAATGACCATCATTATAATTTTGCGAATGACCATCTTTTTAAAGTATTTTTCTTAATGAATTTTACGTGTCTTCATGAAAGCATTTGTTGCTAACTGTCCACCAGAGTTTTATTCCACGGTGATAGTGCCAGTTTTGACCGGCGTTGCTGCCTACATGCTTAAGAGGCTTAGCCAATGTTGGGAGCTGTTGCATCAGAAAAACTCTGTCAAGTCAGTTATCTTTTTATATTAATTTACCTGGAGTCTTGTGCTGTGTTATACAGTATTTATGGCGTTCAGCACATTAGTACAATAAATGCAGAAGATTTAAAATTTAAGTATTTTAACATTTATGTTTCCATTTGGTTGTCTTTAACATTCTTCTTTATTTTGCGCCATATTTTTATTTGGTATTGCAACATTTTTCTAACCATTTACAGATCTGATGATGATGAACCAGAAAAGGAGGTTTTGGAAGATCAGATAGTCAAGCATATAACTAAAGATTATTTGGAGTTTTTGCGTAAGTTTTAACTTGTCAGTCAATTATGAACTTTTATGCTAAAAGTAATTGTCAAAATATAACATTAGTGCGAATGTTGCATGTAAGTGAGGAATTTTAGTTTAATTGCAAATTTTAGCAAGTATGAGGGCATATAAATTTGAGTGTTTTTAAATTCTTCATGGAAGCAGTTGGTGCAGGGTTTGGTATTCAGTCTCTCAACCTTGAGGTTGGGGGTTCAAATCTTCGCTGTACATTTCATTTCACTTGTGCCCTTGAACAAGACACTTTATCTACATTTGTCTCTGTTCATTCAAGAGTATAAATAGGTTCCCGGTTGAAATTTACAGGGGCAGGAAAAAAGGTGGCAGGGGAAGGAACTGGCAAACCTACCACACTATACCGAGACTTTGCGCGATGGGCTCCTAACAGCTCATTCCCCTACGTTCAATAATGAATATGGAATTACTTTTATCTTTTAGGGGGTGTGTTTCGCCAGAAGAAAACTTCAAGTGAAGGAAACGATGATATGGAAACAGAGACACATCATCAACCATCAAACAAAGATTCCGAGGCAGAGCACCTGAGTGACCTTGGAAAAGTCATATTTAAGACAGAGGTGAAGAGTGTAGATATGTATTCAGTATTTGATTTAATTTGTTGGTTGTCTTTTCAGTTGTGTTTTTATTCCCTTAAGTCTACGGAGGCTTGACAGGTGAAGTTTTTGATTTCCTTACATTTTTGCTACTATAGTAATTACACCCACGTCCTTGAGAATGGTTGGCGAGCATCTTACCTACTGGCACCAAACCAGCCCCATTCAATAAGCATTGTATATTACAGTTGTTGTTGTTGTTATTAAAGTATTATTATTATATTACTACTACTGCTGCTATACTACTTTTAATAAGTATCAGATATTATTAATGCTAACTGAATTAAGTAATGTTATTGCCATTGTTTTTGTTGCCTGTTTCAGGGTTTAATTCAAAACATTACACTGTTAGTGTACTCAGCTTTATCATTTGAGGATTCAAATGTGTACTTCAAGGCATCAGGTCTCACAATGCTGCTTCTACAAGAGGTAAGACATACAAACCAGTTCTAAAAATAGATAATACCAAAATAACAATGTAATAATTATTTCGAAGCAACAGGTCTTATAATGTTGCTTTTACAAGAGGTAAGAAATACATGTATACCAGTTATAAAAACAGATAATACCTACATGGCGTACAATATAAAATTAGTGATGTACTGTTCTTTTTCATTTTTCAACAGCTTCCTAATTCTAACATGTTGCCTGAAGCTGTGAACCACTTGTTTATTGCCACGCTTCGTGCCTTGCAAGTACACGGTCATCACGAGTCCTGCATCTCGGCCATCATCAACAATGCTATCTACCATTATGATCTCTTTGTAAGCAAATGTTTATCTACTTTCTCTATTACATACAATTTTTATTTTATATGGGAATATAATTTCTTCTGGTTTAAATATTTTCAATAGCGATTCAATATACACAATTCATAAACAACCCTTAAGCTGCCAGCTCTTTCCTTAATCAGTCAGCCATTGAGCCAGTTGATAACAGTGACTGTAATCCCTCTGTGTCAGCTAATTATTTAAAAAGGTCAACGTAATGCTTATTTTTAATAGTATATATAATTTGCTCAAAAATTCCTAAACTATTGAGATTATGAAAATATAAATCTAAAACAAATTGTTCAGCATATTTCATACCTATATGCTTTTATTTCTACATTTTATATATCATTTAGTGAATAAATATCGGTATAATTTGTCAATGATCACAAATAGTAATAGGCCTATTTATTAGCATAGTATGTGTTTTCACATACTATGCTAATAAATAGAATAGTGTATGTGTTTTCACAGTCACAGTAAATTGCTTGCTGTGGAAAATTAGAACAACAAGTCCTATTTAGACCAAAGCCCTAAGCCTACGTAATTTTTTTTTTCACATTACCATCACAGTCCTATGCTAGGCCCATTTCTTCATATAGGTTAGGCGTACAACATCGTTTTGTATGTCAGTTTCTTACTCTCCTTATCCAGCACAGCTGTAACAACTGCCGAAGAATACAGTTTCTCAGCATTTCAAAACATCATATTTTTAACCTGCAAAAATTCAAACTTCCAACAAAACAACCCCTGGCAAGTTTCACATCAAAATGTGCAGAAATTCATTAGCTTTCCTATATTGTAAACATTATTTTGGTTAGTGTTAAAAACAGCTGCTCTATGGTCGGTTTTTAGAAGACCTTCACCAATTCGCATATATGCGAAGGTGGCATTGGATGTACAGTGAGCCTATTCGCATTTATGTAAAACTGGCCTGCACACCAACTGTGCAGTGTTTCCAATGACTGTATGTGAAATCGGCAGCGTTAGGGTTAAGCTTATCTTTAGACACATGCGGAATGCGTTTGTTGTTCAACGCAATTCCATGGAGAATGTTATGTGGCAAGGCACATGCAACATATTGTTTTTGACGATCTGCTCAGTCTGACACTGACAGTCAGCATACGAGACGATGTCGCATGGTCATTTGCTAACACAGAATGGTGATGGATTCAACAAAAGTAGGACTGTCGGCCGCCGCAGTCCATCCTAAGATATCATTTCCACTTGTGAGTCCTCAAGCTCATACATCCCTTCCATATCATTACTTGATGATAAACTTAATATATGAGCATTTCAATTGGACATATAATCAAGAGATTCTAATTTAATGTTGTTATTTTAATATTAGAGGCCAAAATATCCCAAGATGGTGGAAGTGCTTCTTCAAGTTCCAGGTGTCAACCGTCAGGCTGTCGAGGCCTATGACAACAAGGTACTGACTATCTGGGCCCTTGGGAAGAACCTACCTGAGAAGAAGAAAAAAGATCACTTCAAAAAAATTGTACATGGTCTAATTAAGGTAAGACTGTTAATTTTTTTTTTTTTTACATGAATGATTTCTACCATTTTTTTAATTATTATTACCTCTGCCATGCAGGTTATGTATTCACCTCTGTCTGTCTGTCTACACAAAAACTAGAGAATGGATCATCATAAAATTTTGTGGGACGGTACATAATAATCTAAGAAAGGGTCAAAGGTAAAGTTCATGGAAATTCAATATTTTGCTTGCCCTTGTGCCGAAGAAGCTAATGGCGTATATGATTGCATATTGTTCAATATTCAGGCACAGGGTAGAGGTATGCACTCTAATAAATAGAGAGTAATGCACATAAACTTATTCACTTAGTTCTATGTAAATGCTGGTGCCTTTGAGATTGAGGCACAACTTGATTTCCTGCTCCACAATAGACAGCCATTCGTTGAAACCTTAACTAAGAAAGCCTAACTAAAGTGGCCTGATTTGCTTAATTAAAATGTATTAATAGAGCATATAGTGTTTCTTGGAAAATTTATATTAAGTATATGTTAGTATTATTATTAATAACTTAGGTTATATTTTTTGCTGAAAATTTAAATTAAAAACTTATTGTTATTTTTTTCCTTATCAGGAAGTTGTTAGTGAAAAGTTCAAGAAAGAGGTCACGTTTGGTAAGCTGCCACCAATCTACCGACCCCAGAAAGCAAAAGCTCCCAGGGTTGACGAAACTAGCGAGGAGTATGGACTGATCCAACTTTTCAAAGATTGAGCAGTTACATGTGAATAGCTAACTTAAATTAAGTAGCATCCTGATTAATTAATTCAAATCGACATCTGGATGTGATAGGCCAACGCTTAACTGACATATTGTGTAATCATTATTTTTACTTTACCCCTTTGTTTTGTATCCACATTAGGAAGTTAGTTGACTGCATTAAGAGGGGATCAACAGCTGTCCTTTTTGTTTTTTTTTGGTTGCCTCGCAATTAAATAATTCATCCTCCTACAACTAGAAATTACTTATTAAATTTATTATCCTTATTGGTCGTACTGAATGCACAGTACTATTTTCGCAGATGTAAACGATTGTAATAATTTTATGCGTTTTTAAAAAATGCATGGATTTTTTATCTTTTTGTTTGTTTTTAAGTGCACTGAAATGGTTTAAAAACCAGAAAATGTAAACAAGGTGTTGCTAATTATATGGAAATTATAGTTTTTCAATTATACTATTGTGGAAAATAGCATTGAATTATAGTGACCTTTTTTTTTTATTCTTGCTTTGCTTTTTCATTTGTTGCAATTGTGTAATGTTTAATTAAATTTATTATCCAATGTGTTACTTCTAAAAATGATGTTATTGTTTTTCGTACATCGAAAAATAAACCAGTTTGTTTTCAAATAATTATTACATAAAATTATTATACTGTACAGTGTTTTATCTTCGATCAGTGAAAGTGATTCACCAGTTGAATACAATGGGGTTTTTTTTATACATTGAGAAAAAACCAGTTTGTTTAATACAGATCGCCCTCCAAATAATGACCGTTTTTGGTACCTGGTGTTTCCATGTAAAGCAAAAGTGGACAACAAGCAGATATCAGACAATTTAATAGATTGCATCATTGAGATATGCTGTCTGATTGCACAAACTATGAAGAACCTGGAAGTTCCCAAAAAGTGACTTGTGCACATCAGAGGTTCAGAGACTGACAAGTGAACTCAAGACTATCTATGAAAGTGTTTTCAAATAATTATTGCGTAAAATTATTATACAGTGGAAGTGATTCACCCATTGACGTCACTGATGTTGAATACGATGTGTTTTTATATGTTGGAAAAACACCAGTTTGTTTAATACAGTTCTGCCTCCAATTAAAGACAACTTTTGGGACCCGGGATTTCCATGGTCTTCAGTAGATTTCTAATTAGAATAATAAAGATACATTTGTGACCACAGAAAAGTGCTCTTTAGTATAATGATTGTGTAAAATCATTATACACTGCTGATCATAGATGTTCGATTTAGGTGTGTATGACATAACTGATTATTAATAAGATGGCACCTTTGATGATTTCATTTGATGAACCCTTATATTTCTTGTTCACCTGGTGATTAAAATATACATTGTAATGTTTAGAACTTCATTAAATCTGTTTAATTTGTTGAGATTGGTAGGTCGGTGAGGGAAAAGAAAGGGTTTTGGTATTTCCGCGGTTAAGTTAAAACCGGTGTTAACTATGCAGGGCCCCACCCCCTTTTGGAAAGTTAAAAAAAGAAAAAAAGAAAAAATAAAGAAATAAATAAATGATCGCCCAAAACGACTAAGAGGTTTTTGTCGGGAGTCTAGAAAACAAAAATTTCGGACCGCTGGGGTTATTTCGATCAGCCCCACTTTTGCCGCCCGCCCCCGCCCCTTTCGGACATCTCTGGATCCGCCCCTGCTATTGTCTGTTCTAAACCATTAACATATATTTGTCCCCGATTCTAATACAGTACCATCAAGCTGCTACCAAGTGCAATACACCGAATTACATTGCATTGTCTGTTGGTGCTGTGTAGTGCCAATGTTACAAGTTTGGCACTGCGCTGTCGTAAACCATTTTTCTTAAAGATGAACTGTCTGCATGAGGACGAGGTAAAAAGAAAAGAAATTTAAATTCTATATTTGAATTGGCTGATTTGAGTATTAAATGAGAAACTAACTTTGTATTATTCAAGGTTTATTCATTCAAAATTGTAAAAGGTAGCCAGTAGCTGAATTGATACAATTGTACAAAACATCCACAATTCACTAAGCCAAAACATTAAAATTAATTGTTAAAAACATCAATCCTAGAAAACAGTCGCTGCATTCTTTTGTATGCATAGACCCTTGGTTATAAATTTATGGGTGTCTGTCTAGAAATAATATGAATGTCACTCCTCCAAATAAAAGCGAAATGTAGAATAAAATGGCTTTGTTTGGTAACGTCTGTAATATCAGCTATTCAGGATTATAATTTAAATTTTTAGATATTTTCCGATTTTGTTGGAAGGCAATGTATCATTAATATATTCATAGTATTAATGAAAATCGCTTTATTACCGATGTTAAGTAGTCATTTTTAAAGCATAATCTTATTTTTAAAAATTCGATGTGCAATTTACTATGGAAATTATTGGATGGGTTGCGGTTTAGTAGTGCGGGAAACCACAACCAGAGTCCAGAGGGAAAAAAAAGTTGGTATGCGAGGCAGTAGAAGAACCCACAAATATCGAATAAATTTCTGGTTAACTAGGCCTACACTATATCAATTCTGACCCAAAGGTGTTCCACAGCCAGACTCGATCACTACACAATTAAGCAGTCCTAAATAATCAAGTAAAGGGCTACTCAGAATTCTCAGAAAATTCGAAACATATAAGTCTAGTAATATACTGTGCACAGGCTGACATTACAGGGTGAAAAAAGGCTCTGTGACACTGGTATTTTTGCAAGAATTAAAGGCTCCCTACTAAGGCACTCGTAGCTGTTGTGGGATCTGAAACAGCTGTTGGCATACCGTATTTTAGTAACCAAACATGATAATGTATTGTATTCAACAGGTGAATCGACACATTGAACAATAGTCATTTCGATGCTGATAATGAAGTGAAAAAGTCCATAATTCTAAGCATATTACAGTATAACCAACACAATATATAACAGAGATTTTCAAAATCAATTTTCTTCACTTCGTGGTAAGTCACTTCATATTTTTGTATTTTTTCTTTGCTAAGTAGCCTAAAATTCTGTAGGGGTTTCAATAAATATAATATTTTGTGATAAAACATATATAGGCATATTTTATTTTTATTTACTTTGTTCATGATTGCCATGTCGATTAAACATTTATTGGAATATTATCATGAATCCTTGAACGATAATTATATCGATATTGCTTCACTCAGTCTGTTTTGATAGTGCATGGTATTAATTTATTTTCATAATATAATGTGTGGACCACATTACCTTTAGGCCTACATTGCATATTTTGATTTTTGGGGGTTTTAAAGGCCTGACATGCCGAGTGTTTGTTTGCTAGAGAAATATTACTTGAACATATTTGCGCTGTTTGAAACAAGCTTTTGAAAAAAATTTACTGACAACATACACAATAACACTTTTATTGAAAAGCAAGTCTGGAGTGCCATTTTCGGCCATCTAGAGGTGCTATAGATGTTCATACAATTTCGTAGGGCCTAACTCATGGTGGGTTGGACCCACTCCATCTGAAAAAATCGCTTCCTGACCACTCTATTTCGAATTCCTGGATCCGCCACTGAATTAGAAAAACTAATTGAGCAACGTAGCTACTAAGAAAGCAATCGGAATACGGCCAAAAATGGTCCGCACTCTAATGGTAGTAGTATAAGCTGACGTGGCAAACATATGAATACAAATTACACCTGTATCACTAAGTATACGTGCACTAGTAGTACAGTATAATATAAGCTGACGTGGCTTATTTGTTAAGTTTTTAGTTTACTGATGATGACTGTGTGATACAACTGAAACATGTATGAGAATTACTTGGTTTATTGCTTCCAATTTGTGTTTTCTATATCCGGTCGATTGTTTGGATCTATTGTTCACAAGTTGAGGTACAAACACCTATTTCAGTAAGGATGGATGTAAAACTGGACTAGAAAAATGCAGAAAAGCTTAAGCTGATCTTAATTTTTTGAACAGTTATAAAGAATAATAAAAAGAAAACAAGAAAAAGATAACTGTGGGTACAGATCTATCTAGTTGAATCTGAATGAATTTATAATAGAGTTGAAAATCAACTGATCGCACTACTTAAACAGGCTCTGCTCTTTTAAATAAAGCTAAAGATATTAAGCAGTTGAAAAAGTATTTTACGTTTAGTAAAACTATATTAAGGCTAAAGGACCAGATAGGTTAGCTGGAAAAATATTTAAATTATGCTAGCCCCAGTTTTCTCACAACTCTAAACATGGTTCTTGAATTCATCTTCTGTTATATCTTTATGGAAACCCTATTACCTCTGTTAATAAAATCACCCGACCTTGAGTTGTGAATGACTTTAGACCTGTTGTGGTATAAGCATCCATTGTAATGAAATGTCTTGAGAAGGTAGTTAAACATTATAGTTAAGGAAATAAGCCATGATCCATATCAGTTCGCCTACCGTGCCAAGAAAGGAGTGAAGGATGCAATGCCAACGTTGCTTTACATCCTATATTATAATATGAACACCTAGATAAGGCCCAATAAAAAAAAGTAATTAGTTTATCACCCTTTTCCGCATTTATTCTATGGTTGAAAAAAAAATCTCAATCTGTATTTTACTTTAAATATCGATGCACCAGCAAACAACACAAGGGAAATTTTGGCTTTTGCAAAATAAAAAATAAAAAACCTCCCTTCCTCATCACTTTTACAGCCTAGATAGTGTGATAAACTAAAAAAAATATTTTACTAGGCCTAAGCCAAACACCTATGTGAGAACTTTATTATCTATTGATTTCAGCTCTACAGGAGCTCCACAGGGGTGCGTTCTCTGGTTGTTTACCTTATACACGGGGTGCTCTTGGGTGTAATTCGCTGGTTACACGTATTTGAGTGTCATTTTCATATCAAATTATGAAAAAAGTACATATAGGGGCTTAGTAGGCCTCTCGTTACCTGGTGTGTTGATAGGCCTACTTATCTTCGGATTAATGTAATAAAAACAACGGCGAAAAAGTGGAAAAAAACTGGTAACACTCCTCAAAATAATGCAAATTATATTGACATGTGCACAGAATATAAATACCTACAATAACTAAACTATGGTCTAAAGCAAACCGACGACTATACATTTTTGGAAACCTATGGACAGAGATGGTCGTGGTCCAATCTGTTGTTAACAGTATAATTCCAAATATAGTGATAAGTTTGTAGTAAATTATTGTAGTGTACGGTAAGGTTAGAGTGTTCAGATTATTTATTTCATTTTTATATTAATTTATCCAGGAAAACACATTCATATATTTATGTATACCTAAGACCTCTTTTTATCTGGGCAAGCGTGCTTGACAAGTTATTCAGAATGTGTTTGGAGACTTTTTTTTAGTATTATATTTTCGTACAATTTCGAAAACCATTAAGGGGTTTTTTTCAATCCTCATTTCACAATGTCTTTCAAACTTCTAAAATATGTATCATTCCTGTAGTTGTCAATACTAATTTGCATACAAAATGCTTATTAATATTAATCTGTGTATATTGATAGGTATAAGTTTATATATAT